TGGTCAAAAGTTGATAATGACACAAGTATTGGTCTTCACAAAGTTCGCTGCTTCAGTGTTATGAGATATTTTTGTCAGATGTTACTATGGTATACTGAAGTATAATTACAAACATTCCATAAGTGTCAAAGGCTTTTATTGACAATTACATTAAGTTTATGCAAAGAGTCAATATTTACAGTGTTGCTCTCGGAGGATGTGTTGGTACCATTCTTTATTCATGGCTGTGTTCTTAGGCAAAATTGTGAGTGCCACTCCCTTGGCTGAGAAGCAACCCCACACATGAATGGTCTCAGGATGCTTTACTGTTGGCATGACACAGGACTGACGGTAGCGCTCACCTTGTCTTCTCCAGACAAGGTGTTTTCCGGATGCCCCAAACAATCGGAAAGGGGATTCATCAGAGAAAATGACTTTACCCCAGTCCTCAGCAGTCCAATCCCTGTACCTTTTGCAGAATATCAGTCTGTCCCTGATGTTTTTTCTGGAGAGAAGTGGCTTCTTTGCTGCCCTTCTTGACACCAGGCCATCCTCCAAAAGTATTCGCCTCACTGTGCGTGCAGATGCACTCGCACCTGCCTGCTGCCATTCCTGAGCAATCTCTGCACTGGTGCAATCTTACTAGCAGCAATATCCTTGCCTGTGAAGCCCTTTTTGTGCAAAGCAAAGATGACGGCACGTGTTTCCTTGCAGGTAACCATGGTTAACAGAGGAAGAACAATGATTTCAAGCACCACCCTCCTTTTAAAGCTTCCAGTCTGTTATTCTAACTCAATCAGCATGACAGAGTTTACTCAAGTGTGTGTGTGTGTGTGTGTGTGTGTGTGTGTGTGTGTGTCTGTGTGTGTACACTAGGGCTGGGAATTGCCAGGGAGCTCACAAAATGATATTATCGCGATACTTAGGTGCCGATACGATATGTATTGCGATTCTCACAATTCTATTTGTATTTTTGATTCGATACTGTGATTTTATTGCCATTCGATGTTCCAAACACCATATGTCTGCTGCAGAGGGACAAGAGAGAGCCATGTTTTGATCAGTCATGGAAATAAAAGTGCTGCAAACAAATGGGCACCCTATTTAAAAAGAAGATGGAGAACAAACTATGAAGGAAAAATACTGGAGTTTTGGTGCAGGTACAGCAAACTGCCGCAAAAATAATATTGTGATATTTTCAAAACAATACGATATATCGTCAAAAAGAATATCCCGATATATAACTGTATCGATTCCCACCCCATCACTAGCTATGTTTGAGATAGTGGGGTGAACTTTCTTCCGCTGTTGCCTTTAGTAAAAGCTGCATCCTCATGTTCAGCTCTGTGACGTAACAAAGACAAGCTGAGTAGAGAAGACAATGTTCAAAGCCATTATCTGCCTGTGTCAATGTGCCAATTGCTACTTGGAAAGGCCCGTACAGTAAAGATAACCCTTGACCTGTAATTTGAAAGTGTGCAATTCATCAGTCTTATCAAAATACATACTGCTCTGTATATCACCATCAATGACCCTAAATGGCCTCACATAATCAAGTAGACCTAAGCCTAATCCTTTCACGTTTAACAGTACAATACACCACTTACCTCATTTTGTCCAACATGCTGCATAATTGCCAGACTTCAAACACATTCCTAATGAATGCACAAGAGCCACTACTTGAAGCAAATACAGTACAGTTAAGGGTAGCTAGACAGTTGCTACACAGGCTAGCTAAAATATTAAAATCGGCAAAGTAGGCCTACATTCCACCTTTTAAAACCAGATAGTATGGAACAATACAGGTTGAGGTACAATAACCAAAAGGTTGCCAATTCAAACTTGATTTTCTCCATTACATTCTGATCACGCTCTCATCATTCCATCTTTGATTTAAAAGTGTTGTTTATGCCTTATTTAATTGTACCTGTCATTTCTGTGTTATCATTCCACTGCTTCGTGTACACTAAATAGCAGGAATCTCATTGGACCATTCGTGGAATGGGATTGTTGTGTGTGACCAAAATGGTTTCAGGAAATCTGCGGAGAATCAATGGCTATTTTTTTGTTTGTTTTTGTTTGCAGGACATAAAACATTCAGATTTCAATCAATAGCCAATATCAAAACAATCACTAAGAATCCACTTCACCTTCTAAGTGGGTCAGTTAAGCCTGGCGGAGGTAAGTTAAGTCATAGTAAATATACTTGTTCCCTGCTGCCTTCATCAACTAGCCTAAGTATGTCCGTAAAGTAAACCTGTTGCTGAGAATGAAAAGCCTTGCCAGGCAAACACAAGGTTCAGTCACATCGGAGTGATGCCAATGAGAAAGAGGGCCAACTACAACAGAGCTAGAGGACAGCCTGGCCCATTGGATACTGTCACTCTGTCCTCCTGATTCACAGAGACAATAGGGCATTGTTTCCCTCAGACCCACTAAAACATTCCTCCCATCCACATATCTGAGTGTAAGTGTAAATATGACAAACCAGTTACGAGTTACTCTGTAATTCCAGAGCAATCGAATCGAAATTTAAATCAAAAAGATGCGAAGAGCAGATCTTGATAAACAGCCTCAGTCTCTGAAGACCATATAATGTGTGCATTGGAGCAGAGTTTGCCGTGGCTGTCAAGTGCAACTTAAAAGCAGACTTCCACAATAAGATCAGTGAGTACCGACTATGAGAGATAATATAGGTTACATACATTTCTTGTGGTTGTCCAGCCTTTACCTTTTTTACTGTACTTTTGGTCTGCCATAAATAATTACCAATAGGTCATGGCACCTTTGGGCTTTAGGCGCATTAAAAGGTCCACTTTTTCTCTGTTATAGAGAGGGGATAACTGTGAAGGGTCATGTGTTCAAAGCTGGAATTGGTCTTGAAAAGCAAGGAAAGACGTATCCTACTGTAGTGCACTGAGCCTATAGGGACCACAGTTGGTTGCATGTTTCATCATCATCATCATCATGAACGCTCTGAAAAGGCTGCAATTGAATTATCCTAAAAAAAATAATAAGTATAAGACACTGTTGCATATTTGTAGCCTAAAGTTCTAGTTTTAAAATCGGGAATAGACATTGAAATATTGAGTATATTGTAAATTTGTGCTTATGTTGAAGATGACAAGTTAACAAGTATGACAATTTGATCTAATGGTATTGATAGCCTAGCTCCTTGTTTCGGAATAGGTAGAGTATAATGAAAAAGAGCCACGTAAAACCTCGAAGTGGAGAGATCAATGAGTCTTTGCCAACAAAGTACTGTAGGTTTTGTGTACTGCAACTAGCAAATATAAAAGCCAAGTGTTTCTCAACCATAACTGATTACATGAACATCATAAATTCGATAGAATGGGATGTCAATCGCCAGGATAGATATTTCAAACATATGGAACATTTGGTTGAAATTGTGAGATGGCTGAAGTTGCATGATACCCAAAAAAATATTTTGCTAGCTAACTCCAGTACTTGCTAGCCGACTGGCTTGCCTCGTAACTAGCTAGATACAGAGGTCAAACACAAGCGAGAGAAGGATAGAGAGGGTAGTCCGGGCATGCACGCACGCGCTTACCTCACAGCATATAGCGAACTCGGTTCCAGCGTGATTTTCTTGGGCCTCAATAACTCACAACCTAATCATTAACTATGAGCTTTCAAATGAACTTCCAGATTCCCGTTTACTCTACTGGCAAAACGCCGGCAGCACACGTCACACTGAGGTATATGACAACCACAGCAAGATGACTTTTCACAAAGCAGGAAAATGTAGACGTAGCACGCATGTTTTCGTATGGTAGCCAATCAGACGACCCGTTCAGGGAAGGCACTTCCGCCGCCACATTGTGGTCACCAGTTACCACAGCCACAAAGTAATAAACCCCGCCCATTTCTACAATGTACCTTCTTCAAATGTGATTTTAAACCTAACCTTAACATTGCTAACCTTAAATTAAGACCAAAAAGCGATATTTTGTTTTCATTATTTATTTTACAATAGAGCCTATTTTTGTGGCTGTGGTAACTAGAGGAAACCCCGCCACATGGCAGGCCGAACGATGACGCGCTGTCGCACGATATCGAAATGACATAAACCTACATAACAGCGTATTACATCTGTGTATTTGACATTTCATGTTACCCTAAAAAAACAACCAAATGTAAATGTTCATTTACAGTTATTCTCAATGTGTGTATTTTCGTGGTGAACTCTTACCTGTAGCCACATTACATGTTAATGATCTAAAGCATACTGTAAATTATCAAACGGAGAATGAGAATAATTTGAACTACTAAAGCTATTGTTTGAGGAAACAAATCAAATTATATTTGTCACATACACGTGTTTAGCAGATGTTATTGCAGGTGTAGAAAAATGCTTGTACAACATTTGTGAAATATTTACCTAAACCAATTCTGAGATTACAATTACATATTGGGATGTTGTAGTAACCTCTGGAGGATAAAAGTGGTACTTTATGAAGTACTTTATTGAGCACAAAAGGCATGTAACTCAGCAGGGTCAGCTATATCAAGTTTGTCAATGTTTACAATGCATGATGTCTTATCCAGAAGTCACAGACATGGTTGCAGTTGTTCTGCTTTCTTTGGTCTGTTCCAGTGTTCCTGTATTGGGCTGCTGAACAAGTCCAGTCTGGTGGAACCAGCCTGATTGCTGCATTCACCATCATATTTCAGTGAACAGAGTGATCAGGCTGGTTCCACCAGGCTAGCTGAACAACATACAAGGCACTTGGGGTGAGGAAACTCACAACCTAATAATATAATAATATAATAATAATAATAATAATATGCCATTTAGCAGACGCTTTATCCAAAGCGACTTACAGTCATGCGTGCATACATTTTTGTGTATGGGTGGTCCCGGGGATCGAACCCACTACCCTGGCGTTACAAGCGCCGTGCTCTACCAGCTGAGCTACAGAGGACAACCTCTAGCAAATTCTACATTAGGAAACAGCCTGTACGGTAGCCTGAGGAAATAAATTAGGAAAACAGCATGTCACTTCAGTCACTCAAGGATAAACCACCAGAACACTTTATTAGTTTAATAAAGTCACAATATTTGTGAACAGAGGAATGTCTACTATACAGGATAACACATTCATATTTATAGAGGAGATGAGTAAATAAATTGGGACAGCAGGAAAACATTCAAACAAAACAGCAATGTAATTGTCTTTTTTTCAGGTCTAACAGTCCATTAAGTGGAAGAAGTACTGTATTTTGGTCTCCACGAATAAAACAAGAACAATATGTCCATATAAATAAACATCACATTGTATAGCAAGACACACACTAAGCTTTACAGAAAAACCTTGATACTACAAGCCATGAAGACGGGAAACAGACACTGCATAGGACCAACACAACCTCTGCCTGCTTTGATTATCCAACGGAGTGAATATGCTTTATATTTGACTGGACAAATGTATACCTATCTGAATCGTATACACATCTGATGATTATATTTGTAGAGAAAATAGGGGGGGGTTAACCTGCAAAACGGTAATTGGCATGTATCTCTGGCTTGATGTCACACACCATCTTAAGCAGGTTGCCCAGCACCCCTTCCCGGTTCTGCTGGTAGCTGGTCTGGATGCTACCCATCTTGCCCACGGTCTCTTTGTCCACCTCTACAGCAGAGTTACCATGGGATCCAAGAGCCTAATGGAGAAATGGAAGACCGATTAAGGCCACCTTACAAGACAAACCACTTCAAACATAAAGTAAGTATTAAATAAGTTATTATATGGCCAGTGTTAAGGTCTTATCAATTTAGCTACCAACTACAGTGCCTTATGACTAGGAAAACATATGACTCATGTTTCCCCTTTGCCAATTAAAACTTTCCCCCCAGTGACTCACCGCAGCCTCCTTGGTCTTAAACTCCTTCTCCCTCTGCATACGGTACTGCTCAATCTCGGCCTGGGCTTCCTCCTTGGCCTGCTTCAGCCGACGGTTCTTACCTGATCAAACAGAAAAAAAATCTGCACTTAGGCCTAGTAAGTGAAATGAATTGGAGTGGACATTGATTGAATTTCCCGACCAATCAAGTTTACCCAACTACGCAGTTTGTTGTGTGCTTCCTGGCAAAAGAGGAAGTGGGAAATCCTATTGTTTCACAGGGAAATGAGACCTAGTGAAATAATAGTGAGGAAAGAAGCAAGTATCCTACTGTCAAGGCATGTTTCCCAAGACCAGATTTTAAGTCTAGGCCTACTCTGGGGCTAAAAACTATGTTCAGTGGAGAATCTCCAATTAAAAAGTGTTTTTTAGTCCAGAGGTAGGTCTGGGAAATGGGGGTCTGTTGGAGTAGACTGGAGGGTAAAGGAAATATTTTGTATTATTTGTCAATTTTTCCTTTAAGACTGAGGCAAGAAAACTGGGAACTCTTAAAAAAACGAGCTCTGACTGGAAAAAATCCGACGACCCCCCCCCCCCCCCCCCCATTAAATCTATACAGGAGTCAGTCCGAACCTAGTAGTGCAGCTGTAAACAAGCGGTTCACAGATCTGCTGGCAAACTAGCTAGTTAGCTTGGATTGAAGGCCTTGCCACCTTCTCACTTTGCCGTTAGGAATAAATATATATCTGTTGGCTGTCAAATCGGGGGTTTATTACAGTAGCTACTTATAAATAAAATGTTACTTATGCCATTAACTAGCTACTTTCCAGAAAAATGTTAGCCAATCAAGCTAACATCAGCTAGCTAGCTTAGTTTAACTAAGCCGTTGAATGACAGCAGGTTTGAACTTACGTTTGCGGGCTTCTGCGACTTTTTCTGCAGCTCGTTTTTCGGCTTGCAAAAGCTGCTGGATACCCTGGGACTGGCTAGCCATAGTTTAGTTCGGAGAGAGATAGATCGACAAGAATATATTGATCCTCCAGCTCCTGGTCTGTGTTTGCAGTGATGGTCGGTGAATTTACTGCAGTCAGCTGACAGCGCATCATATCGTCAAAGATAGAAGGGGTAACCCAGACACGTCACAGGGGCTATAAAGCGGGAGCATCCGCTTAGGACGTTTTCTCACCACCAAATATGGTAGTGAGAGGAAGTCCAGTCGCGTTTAGTGGGAGAGGGTGAAACGGGGCCGACATTCTGCTGATTTTCTCATCGATGAAACAACTGATCTCAATACATTTTTATTTTCCCAAAACTAGAATATGTTACGAACAGCGCAGTAAGTTTAATAGACTTGACGCTTTGCCAAAGTTGAACAAAAATTGCGTTGTTTAGACGGCGTGCAGGGTCGAATTGAGTTTGTGCACACGCGCACTTCAAAGGAGGCGTCCCCTAACGGAACTATACAAATATATGCTACAACGCGCCAATAGGGTCGCGCTAGCTCGTGCTTGGCTTTGCCCACCTCCTTGCTTGTTCTGCCCACTATGCTTCATTTGCTCCCACTGCAAACGACACAGATTAACTACCTTGGGTTAGAAATATTTTTGATATCGTTGTCAGGCTCAAACCACGTGATTGGGTAAAAATGGGTGTGCGGTCGGTTTGAGTCCCGGTGTATTCCGTCGGTGGGTGTCGGTGCCGTATTACAGCAGTTTCGGGCAAAAAAGTCTAAACTGGGTAGCAGTAGCAGCCTCCCACACTCATAACACACAACATTGTTCAATGTTTCACTTGACTTGTTTTAGCATAATATTTTTAGTTTAATAAATAGGGTTTCTTCACAAATTAATTTTTATTTATTTAACCTTTATTTAACCAGGTAAGCCAGTTGAGCAAGTTCTCATTTACAACTGCGTCATGGCCAAGATAAAGCAAAGCAGTACGATAAAAACAACAACAACACAGTTACATATGGAATAAACAAAAACGTACAGTCAATAACACAATAGAAAATAGAAAATCTATATACAGTGTGTGCAAATGTAGTAAGTTATGGAGGTAAGGCAATAAATAGGCCATAGTGCAAAATAATTACAATTTAGTATTAACACTGGAGTAATAGATGTGCAGAAGATGATGTGCAAATAGAGATACTGGGGTGCAAATGAGCAAAATAAATAACAATGTAAATAACAATATGGGGATGAGGTAGTTGGGTGGGCTAATTTCAGATGGGCTGTGTACAGATACAGTGATGGTAAGCTGCTCTGACAACTGATGCTTAAAGTTAATGAGGGAGAAATTGCATACATTCGTTCAGCATGCATGAATAGGCTACAAATTTGCATTTCTGAACTAAAGTACACCCATATCCAGTGGTGGAAACAGTCCCCAATTGTCATACCTGAGTAAAAGTAAATATACAGTGGGGAAAAAAAGTATTTAGTCAGCCACCAATTGTGCAAGTTCTCCCACTTCAAAAGATGAGAGAGGCCTGTAATTTTCATCATAGGTACACGTCAACTATGACAGACAAATTGAGAATTTTTTTCTCCAGAAAATCACATTGTAGGATTTTTTATGAATTTATTTGCAAATTATGGTGGAAAAGAAGTATTTGGTCACCTACAAACAAGCAAGATTTCTGGCTCTCACAGACCTGTAACTTCTTCTTTAAGAGGCTCCTCTGTCCTCCACTCGTTACCTGTATTAATGGCACCTGTTTGAACTTGTTATCAGTATAAAAGACACCTGTCCACAACCTCAAACAGTCACACTCCAAACTCCACTATGGCCAAGACCAAAGAGCTGTCAAAGGACACCAGAAACAAAATTGTAGACCTGCACCAGGCTGGGAAGACTGAATCTGCAATAGGTAAGCAGCTTGGTTTGAAGAAATCAACTGTGGGAGCAATTATTAAGAAATGGAAGACATACAAGACCACTGATAATCTCCCTCGATCTGGGGCTCCACGCAAGATCTCACCCCGTGGGGTCAAAATGATCACAAGAACGGTGAGCAAAAATCCCAGAACCACACAGGGGGACCTAGTGAATGACCTGCAGAGAGCTGAGACCAAAGTAACAAAGCCTACCATCAGTAACACACTACGCCGCCAGGGACTCAAATCCTGCAGTGCCAGACGTGTCCCCCTGCTTAAGCCAGTACATGTCCAGGCCCGTCTGAAGTTTGCTAGAGTGCATTTGGATGATCCAGAAGAGGATTGGGAGAATGTCAGATGAAACCAAAATAGAACTTTTTGGTAAAAACTCAACTCGTCGTGTTTGGAGGACAAAGAATGCTGAGTTGCATTCAAAGAACACCATACCTACTGTGAAGCATGGGGGTGGAAACATCATGCTTTGGGGCTGTTTTTCTTCAAAGGGACCAGGACGACTGATCCTTGTAAAGGAAAGAATGAATGGGGCCATGTATCGTGAGATTTTGAGTGAAAACCTCCTTCCATCAGCAAGAGCATTGAAGATGAAACGTTCAGCATGACAATGATCCCAAACACACCGCCTGGGCAACGAAGGAGTGGCTTCGTAAGAAGCATTTCAAGGTCCTGGAGTGGTCTAGCCAGTCTCCAGATCTCAACCCCATAAAAAATCTTTGGAGGGAGTTGAAAGTCCAAGTTGCCCAGCGACAGCCCCAAAACATCACTGCTCTAGAGGAGATCTGCATGGAGGAATGGGCCAAAATACCAGCAACAGTGTGTGAAAACCTTGTGAAGACTTACAGAAACCGTTTGACCTGTGTCATTGCCAACAAAGGGTATATAACAAAGTATTGAGAAACTTTTGTTATTGACCAAATACTTATTTTCCACCATAATTAGCAAATAAATTCATTAAAAATCCTACAATGTGATTTTCTGGATTTTTTTTTTCTCATTTTGTCTGTCATAGTTGACGTGTACCTATGATGAAAATTACAGGCCTCTCTCATCTTTTTAAGTGGGAGAACTTGCACAATTGGTGGCTGACTAAATACTTTTTTTCCCCACTGTAACTTGATAGAAAATGACTCAAGTAAAAGTGAAAGTAACCCAGTAAAATACTAGTTGAGTAAAAATCTAAAAGTATTTGGTTTTAAATACACTTAACTATCAAAAGTAAACGTAATTACATAAAATATACTTAAGTATCAAAAGTAAAAGTATACATCGTTTCAAATTCCTTATATTAAGCAAATATTTTTTATTTACGGATAGCCAGGCGCACACTCAAACACTCAGACATATTTTACAAACAAAGCATTTGTGTTTCGTGAGTCCTTGAGTCTGCCAGATCAGAGGCAGTAGAGATGACCAGGGATGTTCTCTTGATTGGTGCTTGAATTGGACCATTTTCCTGTCCTGCTAAGCAATAAAAATGTAACGAGTACTTTTGGGTATCAGGGGAAAATGTATGGAGTAAAGAGTACATAATTTTCTTCAGGAATGTAGAGAAGTAAAAGTAGTAAAAAATATAAATAGTAAAGTACAGATACCCTACAAAACTACTTAAGTAATACTTTAAAGTATTTTACTTAAGTACTTTACACCACTGCAGATATCTAAACTGAACAGAATGCAGTTGAGTTTATATGGCAACAAACACAGTATGGACATTGTAATGCACAGCCAAAGACTGAAAGAAAGACTAAACAGCTTAATCTGGAGGATGCAGAATTGATTGCAGCCTGAAAAAACAGATCAGTGCCACAGCCATGCATCAAAATACATGGATCAGACCAGTGCCAGTGGTGCTCAAGCCAGGAAACAAAGGGATCCCATTCCCATTGCAAGAGAAGAACATAACTTCATGATGGACATAACTTCAATTTATTTGACTAATAACAATACTTTGAGCTGTATAATGGAAACAATGGTCCCAAAACTGCTAACTTCAATTTAAATCAAGCACACCTAAAATACTTTAAGGTATTCTACATATTATTTGACCTATACAGTGGGGAGAACAAGTATTTGATACACTGCCGATTTTGCAGGTTTTCCTACAAAGCATGTAGAGGTCTGTAATTTTTATCATAGGTACACTTCAAATGTGAGAGACGGAATCTAAAACAAAAATCCAGAAAATCACATTGTATGATTTTTAAGTAATTAATTTGCATTTTATTGCATGACATAAGTATTTGATACATCAGAAAAGCAGAACTTAATATTTGGTACAGAAACCTTTGTTTGCAATTACAGAGATCATACGTTTCCTGTAGGTCTTGACCAGGTTTGCACACACTGCAGCAGGGATTTTGGCCCACTCCTCCATACAGACCTTCTCCAGATCCTTCAGGTTTCGGGGCTGTCGCTGGGCAATACGGACTTTCAGCTCCCTCCAAAGATTTTCTATTGGGTTCAGGTCTGGAGACTGGCTAGGCCACTCCAGGACCTTGAGATGCTTCTTACGGAGCCACTCCTTAGTTGCCCTGGCTGTGTGTTTCGGGTCGGTGTCATGCTGGAAGACCCAGCCACGACCCATCTTCAATGCTCTTACTGAGGGAAGGAGGTTGTTGGCCAAGATCTCGCGATACATGGCCCCATCCATCCTCCCCTCAATACGGTGCAGTCGTCCTGTCCCCTTTGCAGAAAAGCATTCCCAAAGAATGATGTTTCCACCTCCATGCTTCATGGTTGGGATGGTGTTCTTGGGGTTGTACTCATCCTTCTTCTTCCTCCAAACACGGCGAGTGGAGTTTAGACCAAAAAGCTCTATTTTTGTCTCATCAGACCACATGACCTTCTCCCATTCCTCCTCTGGATCATCCAGGTGGTCATTGGCAAACTTCAGACGGGCCTGGACATGCGCTGGCTTGAGCAGGGGGACCTTGCGTGTGCTGCAGGATTTTAATCCATGACGGCGTAGTGTGTTACTAATGGTTTTCTTTGAGACTGTGGTCCCAGCTCTCTTTAGGTCATTGACCAGGTCCTGCCGTGTAGTTATGGGCTGATCCCTCACCTTCCTCATAATCATTGATGCCCCACGAGGTGAGATCTTGCATGGAGCCCCAGACCGAGGGTGATTGACCGTCATCTTGAACTTCTTCCATTTTCTAATAATTGCGCCAACAGTTGTTGCCTTCTCACCAAGCTGCTTGCCTATTGTCCTGTAGCCCATCCCAGCCTTGTGCTGGTCTACAATTTTATCCCTGATGTCCTTACACAGCTCTCTGGTCTTGGCCATTGTGGAGAGGTTGGATTCTGTTTGATTGAGTGTGTGGACAGGTGTCTTTTATACAGGTAACGAGTTCAAACAGGTGCAGTTAATACAGGTAATGAGTGGAGAACAGGAGGGCTTCTTAAAGAAAAACTAACAGGTCTGTGAGAGCCGGAATTCTTACTGGTTGGTAGGTGATCAAATACTTATGTCATGCAATAAAATGCAAATTAATTACTTAAAAATCATACAATGTGATTTTCTGGATTTTTGTTTTAGATTCCAATTATGGTGGAAAATAAGTATTTGGTCACCTACAAACAAGCAAGATTTCTGGCTCTCACAGACCTGTAACTTCTTCTTTAAGAGGCTCCTCTGTCCTCCACTCGTTACCTGTATTAATGGCACCTGTTTGAACTTGTTATCAGTATAAAAGACACCTGTCCACAACCTCAAACAGTCACACTCCAAACTCCACTATGGCCAAGACCAAAGAGCTGTCAAAGGACACCAGAAACAAAATTGTAGACCTGCATCAGGCTGGGAAGACTGAATCTGCAATAGGTAAGCAGCTTGGTTTGAAGAAATCAACTGTGGGAGCAATTATTAGGAAATGGAAGACATACAAGACCACTGATAATCTCCCTCGATCTGGGGCTCCACACAAGATCTCACCCCGTGGGGTCAAAATGATCACAAGAACGGTGAGCAAAAATCCCAGAACCACACGGGGGGACCTAGTGAATGACCTGCAGAGAGCTGGGACCAAAGTAACAAAGCCTACCATCAGTAACACACTACGCCGCCAGGGACTCAAATCCTGAAGTGCCAGACGTGTCCCCCTGCTTAAGCCAGTACATGTCCAGGCCCGTCTGAAGTTTGCTAGAGTGCATTTGGATGATCCAGAAGAGGATTGGGAGAATGTCATATGGTCAGATGAAACCAAAATAGAACTTTTTGGTAAAAACTCAATTCGTCGTGTTTGGAGGACAAAGAATGCTGAGTTGCATCCAAAGAACACCATACCTACTGTGAAGCATGGGGGTGGAAACATCATGCTTTGGGGCTGTTTTTCTGCAAAGGGACCCGGACGACTGATCCGTGTAAAGGAAAGAATGAATGGGGCCATGTATCGTGAGATTTTGAGTGAAAACCTCCTTCCATCAGCAAGGGCATTGAAGATGAAACGTGGCTGGGTCTTTCAGCATGACAATGATCCCAAACACACCGCCCGGGCAATGAAGGAGTGGCATTCGTAAGAAGCATTTCAAGGTCCTGGAGTGGCCTAGCCAGTCTCCAGATCTCAACCCCATAGAAAATCTTTGGAGGGAGTTGAAAGTCTGTGTTGCCCAGCGACAGCCCCAAAACATCACTGCTCTAGAGGAGATCTGCATGGAGGAATGGGCCAAAATACCAGCAACAGTGTGTGAAAACCTTGTGAAGACTTACAGAAAACGTTTGACCTGTGTCATTGCCAACAAAGGGTATATAACAAAGTATTGAGAAACGTTTGTTATTGACCAAATACTTATTTTCCACCATAATTTGCAAATAAATTCATAAAAAATCCTACAATGTGATTTTCTGGATTTTTTTTTCTAATTTTCTCTGTCATAGTTGACGTGTACCTATGATGAAAATTACAGGCCTCTCTCATCTTTTTAAGTGGGAGAACATGCACAATTGGTGGCTGACTAAATACTTTTTTTCCCCACTGTATATATATATATATACATTTAATAGTTATTCACACTACCGTTCAAAAGTTTGGGGTTACTTAGAAATGTCCTTGTTTTCGAAAGAAAATCATTTTTTTGTCCATTAAAATAACATCAAATTGATCAGAAATACAGTGTAAACATTGTTAATGTTGTAAATGGCTATTGTAGCTGGAAACGGCTGATTTGTAATGGAATATCTACGTAGGTGTACAGAGGCCCATTATCAGCAACCATCAGTCCTGTGTTCCAATGGCACGTTGTGTTTGCTAATCCAAGTTTATCATTTTTAAAGTCTAAGTGATCATTAGAAAACCCTTTTGCAATTATGTTAGCACAGCTGAAAACTGTTGTGCTGATTAAATAAGCAATAAAACTGGCCTTCTTGAGGTTAGTTGAGTATCTGGAGCATCAGCAATTGTGGGTTCGATTACAGGCTCAAAATGGCCAGAAACAAATAACTTTCTTCTGAAACTCGTCAGTCTATTCTTGTTCTGAGAAATGAAGGCTATTCTATGCGAGAAATTGCCAAGAAACTGAAGAAAAAGATCTCGTACAACGCTGTGTACTACTCCCTTCACAGCACAGCGCAAACTGGCTCTAACCAGAATAGAAAGAGGAGTGGGAGGCCCCGGTGCACAACTGAGCAAGAGGACAAATACAGTAGAGTGTCTAGTTTGAGAAACAGACGCCTCACAGGTCCTCAACTGGCAGCTTCATTAAATAGTACCCGCAAAACACCAGTCTCAACGTCAACAGTGAAGAGGCGACTCCGGGATGCTTACCTTCTAGGCAGAGTTGCAAAGAAAAAGCCATATCTCAGACTGCCCATCTTCATCTTTTCTTTTTATTGGCCATTCTGAGATATGGCTTTGCCAGAGAATTGCAATTATATATTAATTGTAAAGCAATTCAAAATATAAAATATAGAAATAACAAAGAGAGTATACAACAAACATTACAAACAACAGTCCTTGTGTGCTCCTACCACAGTTTCTGAACGATCGTCAATAGTTACCACAGCCACAAAGTCATATTTTTACAATTTATCTTCTTAAAATATGATTTGAAACCTCAACCACACTGTTAACCTTATGCCTAACTCTAACCTTAAATTAAGACCAAAAAGCAAATTTTTTTTTTAATGAAATTGTACGATATAACCATGTTGTAGCTGTGTTAACTAGTAGAATCCTTTCTAAACCCAGGGGCCCAACATCGCGATATTTCCAGGAACGCTTCGCGAAGCAGGCTGAAGTTTTAAAAATTCTTTTTGCGCCTACTCTGCCTTATATACAGAATTTATGGCTCCTGCTCTACTCATACGGTGCTTTAAAGACAACTGGGAACTCGGGGAAAAAACGAGGTCAAATCATGACGTCAGTGATTTGTAGGTAGCAAAGTCGGAGCTCTATAAATATGCACGAGTTTCCAACAAATAATTAATTGAGAGTTGGATGACCGTTCAAAACATATGCCGCGTTCATTCAACTAGGACATTTCCGACTTCTAACTTGTTGTAGTTATACACGTGCCGCGTTCAAGGATTCAGCAAGTCGGATATTTCCGAGTTTACTAGTTCCGACTAACATGTGAAGGCGGCACTACTCTGCGTTAACGCCATATATTTTAACCACGCACACCATGTGACGCTGTCACAGACGATTTCCTCTTTCGCCATTTTTTCGTGAGCGCAGATTACATCAGACAAGTAACCGTGTGCCTGTGGATGGGTCAGTTTGAGGGACACGACTCTCAAATGAAGGTAATTTTTTTTGCTCTTACATGTAAGCGATTAAATTAAAAGCCCTTTAATGTTGTGAGTGGTTGATCTTGTAATAGCGTGGCATAAAATGACCTTGATCCCGAGTGATTCGAAACATTCACAGTCACACTGGACTGGGTTGGGAGTGACAGCTAGTAAGCCTGTTGTTAGCTAGCAAGCTAACGATACAGCTGCTAGCTACTACTAGTTAACTTACCATGCTGTCAGATACGCAAGTTAGTGAACGATGTGAGATATGTCAGCTACAACTGACAGCTACTCAATGGGGGTCACAGCTGGTTAGCTAGACTTTTGCATTGTTTACTAGTTAGCTAAAGTTAGCTCCTTTGCTTGCTAGCTATGTTGTTAGTCTTGCCTAGTCATAACTCATAAAGCTAAGGTTAGCCAAGCAGTGGGTGTGTTCTTTCTGTTAGTCTTGTTTTGAAACATGGTAAGCTAGCTAGTTAAGTAACAGTGTTAGGGTGTTCGTTTTTTTTCAGGTAAGTCACTCAGTGACCCAGAACGTGTGTGTGTGTGTGTGTGTGTGTGTGTGTGTGTGTGTGTGTGTGTGTGTGTTTGTCTGTGTGTGACCATGTTCCTTTTCCCCCCTCCCTTCCCAGTGACCCCAGCCAGGTGTTAACCTGGTGTGTATCCACCATGTTGAATGGAGTGTTCAGGCTGCATGGCCTGGTGGTGGCGTCTCACCCCTGGGAGGTGATTGTGGGCACCATTGCCCTGACCGTCTGTCTCATGTCCATGAACAACCTGGCCACTAGCGATCAGATCTGCAGCTGGAGCCATGGCTGTCCCAAACTACAGGAGGTGAGTTGTCCTGGCACACAATGGAATGTGGACCCTCTAGAACAATTATTAAATGTTATTATATTCTACCAAGATTGGTGTTGCATGTCAAAGCTGCTGTGTCACCACCACAGCAAGACCTCATGTTTGGAAAGAATATTAAATAGAATGCGTTCTCCTTCAACAGAGAATCCTAAACAGTGATGTAATCATTCTAACGGTGACACGCTGCATGGCCATCGTGTACATCTACTTTCAGTTCCAGAACCTTCGCCAGCTGGGCTCCAAGTACATCCTTGGTAAGTCTCATTTCACAAGAACTGTAACGATACAAACATCTATAACGATGCTATAAGCATTGTCTTGTGTACATACACATGTAACTAACACCCACCTGATGATGTATGTTATGATTGTTTGTGTTATGGTCTGTTCTGTGTTGCCTCTAGGTATAGCGGGTCTCTTCACAGTATTCTCCAGCTTTGTCTTCAGCACCGTGGTCATTCACTTCCTGGGGAAAGAGTTGACAGGCCTAAAGTAAGCATCCTCTCACTTTATACAAGTGTTTATAGAGCAAGTTCCCGTTCCCTGGCCTAGACCTTCACATGGCTTACAGCCTTCCTGGTCTATGGATGGGCAGGAGTAATCAAACAGATGTCAAAACTCTATCTTTAACCAGAGATGATAAATAAATCAAAATACTGTAAGACTGTTTGGTTGAAATTGACAACGTTCATTTGCTTTCACTCTAGTGTTCCATTTGTACATGTGCATTTGCGGGCACAACAAAAAAATAAACCAAGCCAAGCATCAAACAGTTCTTCTCCCAAAGTTCCCTTTCCCCTTCGTGTCTCACTCACTCAGTTGCGTTCCGACCGCTCCCTCTACACATTCGTGCTGCGTGCGCACATAAGCTCCCGTTAGGCCTACCGAAATGGTTGACTGAAGTAGGGAAATAAGTATTCCATATTTTTCGCTTTGGCTACTTTGCAGTTGTCACTAGTTACCAAAGCCACACAAAGTAAATTGTCTAATCGTAAAAATTCATGAAAACATAAATTAGCTTTTTGGTCTTCAGTTAAGGTTAGGTTAGGTTAGCACATAAGGTTAGCAGTGTGGTTAAGGGTTAGGTTTAAAATCAGATTTTAAAAATAATCTGTAGAAATAGGGTTTGACTTTGTGGCTGTGGTAACTAGTGAAGACCCTACTTTGCAAACTGCTAGTGCCATTTAGACTTGGTTAGGCTATAAACATAGACGGGTCCTCACTGAAAATATGCAAAAACATTAGTTTGATATAGAAAAGAGCGTATTTTCATCAGAATCATTAGGCCTACTCACCAAACATATCGTGGCTGTAATTCATCCCCATGCAGTGTTCAATGTGGAATTGTTAATCCATTTAGAAAATTCTAAAGAACAGGCAGAATAAACTAAATTGAACGTCTGTATATCGTAAAGAAGACAGATTTTGGTTTGTAACCCTGAAAAAAGGATTTAAACTCGCCAAATTGAACCGTTTCAATTGATCACTCTTTGAGAATAACTGTTCCAGATGTGAGATGCGCATCACTTTGCAATATTCTGTTCTATTTTATTTTGTTATATTACATTGTTTTTTACTATAAAATAGTTGTCTTGACTGTGGTAAGGGCTTGGGAAATGAGTGTCTTGCCTGCTAAATTAACTAAACAAGGCTATGCCATTGTATAGCCATAGGCTTCTACAAGCAAGCTCCACTGCTGAGGTTACTACCTTTTTGGAGATTGTGTTTCACGATATAATATAACCAGTTGATATTAAGGTTTCAATAAATGACTCTTAAATAGCACTTGCTTTTTATTGATATTATTGGGCAATTAGGATTTGTTATCTGGAATAGTTATTGTAAATTAGCCATTGTTGCACACTGTTGGCATATACACTGAACAAAAATATAAATGCAACATGTAAAGTGTTGGTCCAATGTTTCATGAGCTGAAATAAAAGATCCCAGAAAGACTTACACTAACGTTCAAAAGTTTGGGGTCACTTAGAAATGTCCTTGTTTTTGAAAGAAAATCATTTTTTTGTCCATTAAAATAACATCAAATTGATCAGAAATACAGTGTAGACATTGTTAATGTTGTAAATGGCTATTGTAGCTGGAAACGGCTGATTCTTAATGGAATACCTACATAGGCGTACAGAGGCCCATTATCAGCAACCGTCAGTCCTGTGTTCCAATGGCATGTTGTGTTTGCTAATCCAAGTTTATCATTTTTAAAGGCTAATTGATCATTAGAAAACCCTTTTGAAATTATGTTAGCACAGCTGAAAACTGTTGTGCTGATTTAAAGAAGCAATGAGACCAGTTGAGTATCTGGAGCATCAGCAATTGTGGGTTCAATTACAGGCTCAAAATGTCCAGAAACAAATAACTTTCTTCTGAAACTCGTCAGTCTATTCTTGTTCTGAGAAATGAAGGCTATTCCATGCGAGAAATTGCCAAGAAACTGAAGATCTCGTACAACGCTGTGTACTACTCCCTTCACAGAACAGCGCAAACTGGCTCTAACCAGAATAGAAAGAGGAGTGGGAGGCCCCAGTGCACAACTGAGCAAGAGGACAAATACATTAGTGTCTAGTTTGAGAAACAGACGCCTCACAGGTCCTCAACTGGCAGCTTCATTAAATAGTACCCGCAAAACACCAGTTTCAACAGTGAAGAGGCGACTCCGGGATGCTGACCTTCTAGGCAGAGGTGCAAAGAAAAAGCCATATCCCAGACTGGCCAATAAAAAGAAAATATTAAGATGGACAAAAGAACACAGACATTGACAGAGGAAGATTGGAAAAAAGTGTTATGGACAGACAAATCGAAGTTTGAGGTGTTCGGATCACAAAGAAGAACATTTGTGAGACGCAGACCAAATGAAAGATGCTGGAGGAGTGCTTGATGCCATCTGTCAAGCATGGTGGAGGCAATGTGATGGTCTGGGGGTGCTTTGGTGGTGGTAAAGTGGGAGATTTGTACAGGGTAAAAGGGATCTTGAAGAAGGAAGACTATCACTCCATTTTGCAACACCATGCCATACCCTGTGGACGGCGCTTGATGGGAGCCAATTTCCTCCTACAACAGGACAATGACCCAAAGCACAGCTCCAAACTATGCAATAACTATTTAGGGAAGAAGCAGTCAGCTGGTATTCTGTCTATAATGGAGTGGCCAGCACAGTCACCGGATCTCAACCCTATTGAGCTGTTATGGGAGCAGCTTGACCGTATGGTATGTAAGAAGTGCCCATCAAGCCAATCCAACTTGTGGGAGATGCTTCAGGAAACATGGTGTGAAATCTCTTCAGATTACCTCAACAAATTGACAACTAGAATGCCAAAGGTCTGCAAGGCTGTAATTGCTGCAAATGGAGGATTCTTTGACGAACGCAAAGTTTGAAGGACACTTATTTCAATTAAAAATCATTATTTCTAACCTTGTCGATGACTACATTTCCTATTCATTTTGCTATATTTCCTATTCAAACTCATTTCATGTATGTTTTCATGGACAACAAGGACATTTCTAAGTGACCCCAAACTTTTGAACGGTAGTGTATTTCTCTTAAATGTTGTGCACAAATTTGTTTACATCCCTGTTAGTGAGCATTTCTCCTTTGCCAAGATAATCCATCCACCTGACAGGTGTGGCATATCAAGAAGCTGATTAAAATGGCATGATCATTACACAGGTGCACCTTGTGCTGGGGACAATAAAAGGCCACTCTAAAATGGGCAGTTTTGTCACACAACACAATGCCACAGATGGCTCAAGTTTTGATGGAGCGTTCAATTGGCACGCTGACTGCAGGAATGTCCAGCAGAGCTGTTGCTAGATAATTTAGTATTAATTTCTCTACCATAAGCCGCCTCCAACGTCATTTTAGCGAATTTGGCAGTACGCCCTACCGGCCTCACATCCACAGACCACGTGTATGGCGTCGTGTGGGTGAGCGGTTTGCTGATGTCAACATTGTGAATAGAGTGCCACATGGTGGCAGTGGGGTTATGGTATGGGCATGCATAAGCTACGGGTAACGAACACAATTGCATTTTATCGATAGCAATTTGAATGCCAAAAATACAGTGACGAGATCCTGATGCCCATTGTGAGGCCCATCTTTTTTTTTTTAAGTTATCTGTGGCCAACTGATGCATATCTGTATTCCCTGTCATGTGAAATCCATAGATTAGGGTCTAATTAATTTATTTCAATTGACTGATTTCCTCATGAACTAACTCAGTAAAATCAATGAAATGGTTGCATGTTGCGTTAATATTTTTGTTCTGTATAGATACATGCGCACACATTTATTTCCCAGTGCTGGCGTTGTTCTAAAAATACAACATTATTATTCTTATTTATTTTTTATTTTTTGAGTACTCTGAAAAAAAGTATTGTGAGTACTCGAACAGTCAAAAAATGTAAAATCCCTATTCCAGTCCTTACACTTGTCTTACATGTTATCCAGAACCTCTTTATGAAACTTAACTGTGTGTTTTCTCTCCTCAGTGAAGCTCTTCCATTCTTCCTGCTCCTCATTGACCTGTCTAAGGCCTGTGCCCTGGCCAAGTTTGCCCTTAGCTCCAACTCACAGGTAACCAACCTCTCTCAGTGCCCTCCACAGAATTATATAGAACACTAATATATGTATATCTATGGTGCCCAGACTGCCCACACATCTCTGGGAAGCCAAGAAAGAATATTGGGACTCAACTGTTGTCTCAAAAAGCAGTGGCTAGCTACTGGCATTTTTGGAGTAACTCAATATTATCATAGCTTTGCTGATGTGACACTTCTGAACTAACTTTTATACTGGAGCTGCACTCTTGACCAGCGGAACAGAATTTCTTTAACTCAATAGGATTTAGTAGTTTATGTAAAGGGAAATCCTAACCTAGATGTGTGTTTTTCCATATAGGAGGAGGTGAGAGAGAACATCTCTCAGGGCATGGCTATCCTGGGTCCTACCTTCACCCTGGATGCCCTGGTGAAGTGTCTGGTCATTGGAGTGGGCACCATGTCAGGAGTGCGTCAGCTGGAGATGATGTGTTGTTTCGGCTGCATGTCCGTCCTGGCCAACTACTTTGTCTTCATGACCTTCTTCCCTGCCTGCGTCTCCCTGGTCCTCGAGGTAAGGATGGGCACAGGAAGAAAGATTCTGAGACGTGTGTCTGAAATTGTGTGTGTCTGCGTTTGAGCTTGTGTGTCTCTCTGGTCTTTGAAATAAGAGTCGGCATGTGAAGGGAGGTTTTTGAGACGTGTGTGTAACATCTCCTCACCTCTTTCTCCCTGTGTGTGTGTGTGTGTGTGTGTGTGTGTGTGTGTAGCTGTCCAGGGAGAGCCGTGAGGGCCGTCCCATCTGGCAGCTGAGTCACTTTGCCCGTGTTCTGGCTGAAGAGGAGGACAACAAACCAAACCCTGTTACACAGAGGGTTAAAATCATCATGGTAAAAATTGACCAGCCTTAGCACTACCTCGAACCCTTAGTTAACAACTGTAACCGACAGTCAAGATCATCATGGTCACATAGAGAAAGAACAGCATAAACAATATGGTCTCTTCTCTTCCTCCAGTCTCTAGGTCTGGTTCTGGTCCATGCCCACAGTCGTCTGGTGTCAGAGCAGCCAGGTCAGAACCGGACGGTGGAGGGCTCCAGCAGTGGTCTAGCTCTCGATGGGCCTACAGCCCAGAGGATGGACCAAGACTACACTCTCTGGCCGATACCGCTCACCAGGTAAGGAATGGTAGAGTAGTGGAAGTGGTTCACCTATCCTGTTTTCTTTTTGTTTGTAGTTTCATGTTTGACCTCTCTGTGGTTTCCATATTGATTTCTTTGTCAGTGTCTTGGCTTGCTGAGTCATTGAATGACTTCTCCCGCCTCTGGGTGGTGGACTGGACTATTTCTAGAACATTCTCCCTCTGACCTTCTGTTCTTTGTGACTCGGCCTCAACTGAATCTGTGAAAGCAAAATCGTGTAAAGTCTTTCAGCCCTCTCTTCTCTCCTTAGTATGGACCTGGAGCAGGTGATAACCCTGGGCCTGGCTTTGCTGCTGGCTGTTAAGTACGTCTTCTTTGAGCAGGCTGAGACAGAGTTGTCCCTGTCCCTAAAGAGCCCCATCTCCACCTCTATCTCCGCCCCTGCACTGAGCCATAGGGGGGCTGAGGACTGCTGCAGGAGGGAACCAGCACCCGCTAAAACATCCCCGAGAACCAACAGCACCCCAAACCCTGTGGCTAAAACTGATTCTAACATGGCGGCCAAAGAGGAGAGAGGTAAGCTGAGCCAAGGTTATTGTGCTTGATTTGTTTTGAGAATCCTCTTTTTAGACTGTTTAGAAGTCTGTTGGTCTCATTGTTATGTCTCTCTCCCCTCCACTCTCTTTCTCCGACCCACTCACTCTTTCTTTCTCACTCACTCTCTTTCTCTCTGTAGTTGAGGTGATTCAACCCCTGGTGGCCACGATGGTGCAGAACAGTCCCCTCTCTCTGAATGGACCGCTCCCTCAGAGTTTAGTGGATATTGTGTCCCCCCCACCTCCTTTCTCTACCCCAACTCCAGACACAACTACATCTCTCCCCAACCCCACCTCCCAGCCCCGCTCCCTGGACCAGTGTCTGTCCATCCTCAGAAACCCTGAGGTGAGCTTCCCCTTTACACAACTGCACTCAGGATCCAGCACCATTCTGTTAAATACAACTGTATTAAAACACAGAACAACCACTCAACACTTTGAAATATTACCATTCTTTGCTCACAACACTTAAACACAGTTCCTTTTCAGTCAGTCAACTTCGGTACAAAATACTATGGGGAGTCGCACTATTGCGACTTCGGTTGAAGGATCTACAATCACGCCTGACAAGGCCAATGAAATCTGCACCTCGCTGGAAGCCCCGCCTTCCACAGGTGATAAGCGTGAGGCTCGGATTCATTCCTTCAATTATTCGGCTTTTCACGCTATTAAAACAATTGGAACACAAGACTGTTTTGCTTTGCGCAAACTGTCCATTAGTGGTAGAGCGTGCTCACCCCCTGGATGTTGTGTGCTAAAGTTTGTATGGTTCTCATAAATTTCCTAATCACAAACAATTAGTTATTCTTCAAATTGCTTGGCCTGGCTATAGCAATAAGTAAGATGGCTAACGTGACCAAAACGACGAAGGCTAATAAGCCGGGTTCGCGACCATGCCCCAATGTCTGAATTAAAAGATACTTGTGTTGGTTGTCTTATATGTCTCGGCTCGGTGTATGCTCAGGCTGCCCTTGCTCGAATCAGTTTGTGTACGAGACTAGGGGACGGCTGGCACCGTTCCCCTTCTAGTCCGCGGCACAGGTTCTCTTGTCAATCGTGTAGCATTCTTTAGGGGTCTTGGTGTTATTGATAGTGTCTTCTCCCGGGTGCCCGTACCTCGGCTGAGTCTGAGTTGCGGTGACGTTTGGTTGGGTCGAATGTCTCCCGGCTCCTGTGCACTCTGTTGCTGGTTACGTGAGGCTATTCAACGAGAGGGCGAACCGATTCTGTGGGTATACCCTTGCTGCCTCTCTTCCCAGAAGGGTCCAGGTCCTAGTCGCTTGGTTATTCTGAACGGACCGTGCTGCGGTCAAAGAAGATAGCTGGCCTATCTTAGATTAAAGAGCCTCCTGGCTAAAGTTGGCTAGCATGCATAACTTCCGGTGAATGAAGCTTAATAGCGTCCACCCGGCGATTTGGCAAACTCATTCCTATTTTCAATTCCTGGAGTTGGAGGGAGTAGTGAGAGCGGGGTTTGCATGCTACTCCTATGAGGAAGTAGCCCCCGATCAGCTGCACCGCTCCACAAAAATGTGTTACGGCGAAGGGGTATTACATCAGCCATTGCCAGAGCCCTCTGTGCCCATAAGGGGGCCTGGCTTCATGCAGGCTATACATTATTACGGAAGCTAAATGTGTGTTGGAAGCTTGCCCATGTTTAATGCCCCTCTGGTACCACACGTTGAATGGTATTCACGGGGTTCAAGGGTTATATTAATCTCCTCAGAGTGGGAGTAATAAGTTGGGCGATTCGCTCTCTGTCCACAACGGGGCACCCCTCCCCCATAGGTGGCTCATTACTGGGATTCATTGCTGATTCCTGCCTGTATCTCACTAGTCCCTATGAGGTCTCTAGTGATACAGGTTATGGAACCTGTAGGCGATTGGTGGTTGGTAGCGGAGTCGAGGGAACAAGCAGGGTTGGACATGACCATGTTATTATCCCACACACAGTCTCTGTGGTTCATATTTGAACTCCGAAATGAGCTGTCGTTCTCCAGCTCAGCGCTTTTCATTCCTGGGAATAAGATCAGATTATAAATCGCCCCTGTCTGTTACCACAGAAGGGGTCCATTTTTCAGAGCTGTCTTTCCTATTCCCAGCTAGGCTACAAGGCGCTAAAAAGCATATTCTTTTATACGTGCGGTCCAGTGCTGGGTGCCAGCCAGTTAGGCTCGTTGTGACAACAGTACCCCCAGGTGTCACTGCCAAACGGGCTACATCACTTATCGCTGGAGCCATGGGATCCAGAGTGGGCCAGGCTTTAGGTAAACCTTGGTACATAAACACATTTTTTTCAACTCCAAAGTTCCACAGTGTTCATGGGTGTCAAGTGTTGTCTCCCGCATATGAGTTCGATGAAAAGTGTCACTTCTCCACATTCAGACACACTGTTGTAAAGTGGAAATGGATGAAGAACCAATCTCTCCCAGTCCACAAGGTGGCGTCCCGCCCCTTCAGATGGAACTTCATGGGAGGCTCGCTCTCTGCGCCGACCAATGGCGTGCATACGCAGTGTTGCCCTGGATCATTGAACAGTGACGTCAGGGTACAGGTTACAATTTGTTGTGCGTCCCCCACGCTTCTGCAGCGTCATATTACCCGGAGCGCCTAACGGTGTACCTGGCGCTCAGGTGCTTCCCCCTGCTTTTGTCGGGCCAGCTTGTGCTGGTCAGAACCGACAATATGTCAGTGTTGGCGTGCATCAACATAGGGGGAGAGACTCTGTCCCTCTCCCTCCTAACCTTTGCTCACTCCCTATTGCTGGGGAGCAGTGTGCAGATGCTCTCAATTTGGGGCGACGCATGTCCCCGGTTGCCTCAACTCAGGTGCAGATATTTTATCCAGGTGGGACCCTCTCTCTCAGGAATGGAGGCTACACCCCTGGGTGGTTTCCCAGGTATGGGACATTTTTGGCAGGGCCGACGTAGATCTTTATGAATCGCAAGAAAATGCGCAGTGCCATCTAAACTCAGCAAAAAAAGAAACGTCCTCACTGTCAACTGCGATTATTTTCAGCAAACTTAACATGTGGAAATATTTGTATGAACATAACAAGATTCAACAACTGAGACATAAACTGAACAAGTTCCACAGACATGTGACTAACAGAAATTGAATAATGTGTCCCTGAAAAAGTGGGGTGAAAATCAAAAGTAACAGTCAGTATCTGGTGTGGCCACCAGCTGCATTAAGTACTGCAGTGCATCTCCTCCTCATGGACTGCACCAGAGTTGCCAGTTCTTGCTGTGAAATGTTACCCCACTCTTCCACCAAGGCACCTGCAAGTTCCTGGACATTTCTGGGGGGAATGGCCCTAGCCCTCACCCTCCGATCCAACAGGTCCCAGACGTTCTCAATGGGATTGAGATCCTGGCTCTTCGCTGGCCATTGCAGAACACTGACATTCCTGTCTTGCAGGAAATCACGCACAGAACGAGCAGTATGGTTGGTGGCATTGTCATGCTGGAGGGTCATGTCAGGATGAGCCTGCAGGAAGGGTACCACATGAGGGAGGAGGATGTCTTCCCTGTAACGCACAGCGTTAAGATTGCCTGCAATGACAACAAGCTCAGTCCCATGATGCTGTGACACACCGCCCCAGACCATGATGGACCCTCCACCTCCAAATCGATCCCGTCGAGAGTACAGGCCTCGGTGTAACGCTCATTCCTTCGACGATAAACGCGAAACCGACCATCACCCCTGGTGAGACAAAACTGCGACTCGTCAGTGAAGAGCACTTTTTGCCAGTCCTGTCTGGTCCAGTGACGGTGGGTTTGTGCCCATAGGCGACTTTGTAGCCGGTGATGTCTGGTGAGGACCTGCCTTACAACATGCCTACAAGCCCTCAGTCCAGCCTGTCAGCTTATTGCGGACAGTCTGAGCACTGATGGAGGGATTGTGCGTTCCTGGTGTAACTCGGGCAGTTGTTGCCATCCTGTACCTGTCCCGCAGGTGTGATGTTCGGATGTACCGATCCTGTGCAGGTGTTGTTACACGTGGTCTGCTACTGCGAGGACGATCAGCTGCCCGTCCTGTCTCTCTGTATCGCTGTCTTAGGCGTCTCACAGTACGGACATTGCAATTTATTGCCCTGGCCACATCTGCAGTCCTCATGCCTCCTTGCTGCATGCCTAAGACACGTTCACACAGATGAGCAGGGACACTGGGCATCTTTCTTTTGGTGTTTTTCAGAGTCCGTTGAAAGGCCTCTTTAGTGTCCTAAGTTTTCATAACTGTGACCTTAATTGCCTACCGTCTGTAAACTGTTAGTGTCTTAACGACCATTCCACAGGTGCATGTTCATTAATTGTTTATGGTTCATTGAACAAGCATGGGAAACAGTGTTTAAACCCTTTACAATGAAGATCTGTGAAGTTATTTGGATTTTTTCGAATTATCTTTGAAAGACAGGGTCCTGAAAAGGGGACGTTTCTTCTTTTGCTGAGTTAATTTTTCTCGAAGTGGGAGCCGAGTGCCCCGTTGGCGCACCAGTGGCCTCGGATCCTCCTGTACGCGTTTCCGCCAGTGGTTCTGATTCAGCCCACGTTGGAGAGGGTGCGCTCGGAGGGATTATCATTGATTATTGTGGTTCCCGTTGGCCCAGGCAGCCTTGGTTCACAGAGATAATTTGCCTTTTAGGCGGGGACCCGTGGCAGCTCCCGTTGCGCATGGACCTGTTGTCCCAAGTGCTCGGGCAGGTTTGGCAAGCAAGGCCAGAGATTTGGTTCCTATGGGCCTGGCCCCTGATGGCTAAAGGTTTACCTCCAAATATTATTGCTGCCATTCAGTCTGCAAGGGTCCCCTCCACAAGAGGGCTGTATAGGTGGCAAGCGTTTGAGCTCCGGTGCCAAGATAAAAAACTTCCTTTTCAGTGCTCTGTGAGGGACATCCTTATGTTCCTACAGGAGCTTTTCGAGCAGGGGCGGGCATTCGCCACGTTAAAAGTGTACTTGGCCGCTATCTCAGCATGTCATTTGGGAATTGACGGAGCCTCACCGGGGGCCCACTCCCTGGTTGTGCAGTTGCTGAAAGGTGTATGCCACGTGTCAAACTCATTCCACGGAGGGCACCTGGTTGTCTAGGTCTTAATTGAAAGTAAAAAACAAACTTACAGACACTCGGCCCTCTGTGGAATGAACCCCTGGTGTCAAACTTGATCATTGCTAGACAATCATTTTCAGGTCTTCCATAGATTTTCAAGCAGATCTAAGTCAAAACTGTAATTCTGCCACTCAGGAACATTCACTGTCTTCTTGGTAAGCAACTCCAGGGTAGATTAGGCCTTGTGTTTTAGGTTATTGTCCTGCTGAAAGGTGAATTCATCTCCCAGTGTCTGGTGGAAAGCAGACTGAACCAGGTTTTCCTCTAGGATTTTGCCTGTGCTTAGCTCCTTTTCATTATTTTTTTTCTTTTGAAAGACTCCCCATTCTTTAACGGTTGCAAGTATACCATTAACATGATGCAGCCACCACTATGCTTGAAAATATAGAGTGGTACTCAGTAATGTGTTTTAATTGGATTTGCCCCAAACATAACACTTTGTATTCTAGAATTTCTTTTTTGCAGTATTACTTTAGTGCCTTGTTGCAAACAGATGCATGTTTTGGAATATTTTTTTTCTGTACAAGCTTCCTTTTCATTCTGTCAGTTAGGGTAGTATTGTGGAGTAGCTACAATGTTCTTGATCTATCTTCAGTTTTCTCCTATCACAGCCATTAAACTTTGTAACTGTTTTAAAGTCACCATTGGCCTCATGGTGAAATCCCTGAGCGGTTTCCTTCCTCTCCAGCAACTGAGTTAGAAAGGACGCCCGTGTCTTTGTAGTGACTGGGTGTATTGATACACCATCCAAAGTGTAATTAATAACTTCACCATGCTCAGAAGGTTATTTAATGTTTGCTTTTTATTTTATTTTGACCCATCTACCAATTGGTGCCTTTCTTTGCAAGGCATTAGAAAACTTCCCTGGTCTTTGTGGTTGAATCTGTGTTTGAAATTCACTGCTCGACTGAGGAACCTTACATATAATTGTATGTGTGGGGTACAGCGATGAGATAGTCATTAAAAAATCATGTTAAACACTATTATTGCACACAGAGTCCATGCAACTTATTTTGCGACTTGTTAAGCAAATTTTTACTCCTAAACTGATTTAGGCTTGCCATAACAAAGGGGTTTAAAACTTACTGACTCAAGATATTTCAGCTTTTTTGACATTATGGGGTATTGTGTGTAGGCCAGTGACAAAAGATCTCAATTGAATACTTTCTAAAGGCACTGTATGTGTTAATATTGATATGTATTTATGGCTCTCTGCCTATGCCTCTTTCCAGTTGGGCGCTTGTTTTCTTAGCAACGCCGAGGTGATGGAGCTGGTGACATCACGGAACATCCTGACCTATAAGCTGGAGGCTGTCATGGAAACGCCAGAGAGGGGCGTGGCCATCCGGAGAGAGATGCTGTCATCCAAACTACCATCACCCTCTGCCTTGGCCTACCTTCCTTACAAGGACTATGACTACACTAAGGTAGCCTACTCATAGGGACTACAACTGCCACTACTCCAGTTTACTGAAACAGACAGTTGAAGTAAGCTTGGTCTCAAATCAACCCAGTAAGGTCTATTGTGGTACTGCCCTCACCCATCCCATGTCTTCCTCGCTTATCAGGTGATGGGCACCTGCTGTGAGAACGTCATTGGCTACATGCCCGTGCCAGTGGGCGTTGCTGGCCCTCTCCTATTGGACGGGAAGCAGTTCCATGTTCCCATGGCAACAACGGAAGGCTGCCTTGTGGCCAGCACCAACAGAGGATTCCGGGCCGTCGCTGTGAGTTTAGAGTATACGTCTATTATGGTTTAACTATGCGAGTGTGGAGTATACGTCTAATGTGGGCTAACTCTCTGTGAGTGTGGAGTGTACGTCTAGTGTGGGCTAACTCTCTGTGAGTGTAGAGTATACGTCTAGTGTGGGCTAACTCTCTGTGAGTGTGGAGTGTACGTCTAGTGTGGGCTAACTCTCTGAGTGTGGAGTGTACGTCTAGTGTGGGCTAACTCTCTGTGAGTGTAGAGTGTACGTCTAGTGTGGGCTAACTCTCTGTGAGTGTAGAGTATACGTCTAGTGTGGGCTAACTCTCTGAGTGTAGAGTGTACGTCTAGTGTGGGCTAACTCTCTGTGAGTGTAGAGTGTACGTCTAGTGTGGGCTAACTCTCTGTGAGTGTAGAGTGTACGTCTAGTGTGGGCTAACTCTCTGTGAGTGTAGAGTGTACGTCTAGTGTGGGCTAACTCTCTGAGTGTAGAGTGTACGTCTAGTGTGGGCTAACTCTCTGTGAGTGTAGAGTGTACGTCTAGTGTGGGCTAACTCTCTGTGAGTGTAGAGTGTACGTCTAGTGTGGGCTAACTCTCTGTGAGTGTAGAGTATACGTCTAGTGTGGGCTAACTCTCTGTGAGTGTAGAGTATACATCTAGTGTGGGCTAACTCTCTGTGAGTGTAGAGTATACATCTAGTGTGGGCTAACTCTCTGAGTGTAGAGTATACATCTAGTGTGGGCTAACTCTCTGTGAGTGTAGAGTATACATCTAGTGTGGGCTAACTCTCTGTGAGTGTAGAGTATACATCTAGTGTGGGCTAACTCTCTGTGAGTGTAGAGTATACATCTAGTGTGGGCTAACTCTCTGTGAGTGTAGAGTGTACGTCTAGTGTGGGCTAACTCTCTGTGAGTGTAGAGTATACGTCTAGTGTGGGCTAACTCTCTGTGAGTGTAGAGTATACATCTAGTGTGGGCTAACTCTCTGTGAGTGTAGAGTATACATCTAGTGTGGGCTAACTCTCTGTGAGTGTAGAGTATACATCTAGTGTGGGCTAACTCTCTGTGAGTGTAGAGTATACATCTAGTGTGGGCTAACTCTCTGTGAGTGTAGAGTATACATCTAGTGTGGGCTAACTCTCTGTGAGTGTAGAGTATACATCTAGTGTGGGCTAACTCTCTGTGAGTGTAGAGTGTACGTCTAGTGTGGGCTAACTCTCTGTGAGTGTAGAGTATACGTCTAGTGTGGGCTAACTCTCTGTGAGTGTAGAGTATACATCTAGTGTGGGCTAACTCTCTGTGAGTGTAGAGTATACATCTAGTGTGGTTTAACTCTGTGTGTCTGTCTGTATGTCTCCTCTAACCTTCCTTTCTCTCTCCAGTTGAGTGGCGGTTGCAGCAGCAGGGTGCTAGCTGACGGTATGACGCGGGGTCCTGTTGTACGGCTGCCCTCAGCGTGCCGGGCTGTAGAGGTCAAGGCCTGGCTGGAGACCACAGAGGGCTTCAGGACCATCAAGGATTCCTTCGACCACACAAGCAGGTCAGGGTCAAGGGTTAAAGGTCACACAGTCACCTCAGGGTCACACAGATCAAAATATAGGTTGGGTAATGTTATAATGATCAGATTATCCAATCATACCTGTAACCTCACCTATTGTGGTTTATAGAAAATAACTGACCCTAGGTCAGTGATTAGGGGCAACTTCTAGCTACTCTGATCTCAATGATGTAATTTAAATTGGCCCTCGCAAGGTCAATACAGTCACATAGTATTGTTCTGTCTGTTAGGTTTGCCCGTCTGGACAAGCTATTGGTAGGTCTAGCAGGGAGGAACCTCTACATCCGCTTCCAGTCCCACACTGGAGACGCCATGGGCATGAACATGCTCTCTAAGGTCAGAATATGCTCTGTGTGGATGTGTGTGTTACCATTCTAAAAGGTAATACAGTGTAGCGGTAAAGGCATCCATTTGAGAGGCTACATTCTTCAGAGGAATTACTTACTGGTGATGGAATGGACTTCTCAGAATAACAAAAATGCAGTTTCTGGTGTCTAATACCACATATTAACTGTGTCTCTGTGTGTCTGCAGGGTACAGAGCAGGCGGTGAGCAGGCTCCAGCAGCAGTTCCCTGAGCTCCAGGTTCTAGCGGTGAGCGGGAACTACTGCACTGATAAGAAACCTTCAGCCATGAACTGGATCCTGGGCCGGGGCAAGTCTGCTGTGTGTGAGGCCACCGTGCCCGCCAGGGTGGTCCAAGAGGTATGTTACAGCTACAACACACACACTCAGAGACGCACACTCACACATACACTGAGACACACTGACTTGGAAGAACTGAACTGGTGGAAGCAAATATTTGAGACACTACAGTGATTTCACCCATCCTTTGTTTTGAGATGTCGCTCTCTCTCTCCAGGTCCTAAAGACCAGTACTGCTGCCCTAGTAGAGCTGAACATCAATAAGAATCTAGTGGGCTCAGCCATGGCTGGTAGTATAGGAGGCTTCAATGCTCACGCTGCTAACATCGTGGCTGCCATCTACATTGCCTGTGGACAGGTACTTAAACACACACAACCACTACCCCAGGCCACTTCTGTTAGATAATGACAGAAAAGTCTGATCTTCTGAGATTCTGTCTTACCTAACCAATCCAAATATTTATTTCCTGTATAATCTCTTTCTCCCTCACTCTCTCTCCAGGACCCAGCCCAGACAGTGGGCAGTAGTAACTGTATAACTCTGATGGAGCAAGCGGGTCCTGAAGGAGAGGACCTGTATATCAGCTGTACCATGCCCTCTATAGAACTGGGCACTGTAGGAGGGGGCACCAACCTGGCACCACAACAGGCCTGTCTACAGGTACACTGTGTGTGTGTGTGTGTGTGTGTGTGTGTGTTAACCCCTCAATAAGGGTATGTATTAACCCTCTGTATGCGTGTCCATTGTAGATGCTGGGTGTGCAGGGTGCCAGTCTAACGGGTCCAGGGGATAATGCCCGTCAGTTGGCCAGCGTGGTGTGTGCCACCGTCCTGGCAGGAGAACTGTCTCTGATGGCCGCTCTCGCGGCCGGACACCTCGTACAGAGTCACATGACCCACAACAGGTAAACTACACTACCCATAACCCCCTGACTCACAATAGGTATACTACACTTAACCCTCATGGCTCACAACTACACTCCAGAGACCTCTTCTAAAAGGGAGAATGCTACACTGTTAACACTATTCCTGAAAAAGATTGTCTGGTGACTTTGCTTTGCTTTCAATGTTTATTTTTCCCTCTCAGATCTCAAGCCAACATGCCACAAATAGCCCCATCCCACTCAGAGGAGGCTGCGTGACAGATGCATTACAACCAATCACAATGAGCCTTCTAGTGATAATGAGGACCTGCAGTGAATTCTGGGAGCTGGAGGATTAGCCCAGTGTGAGCATGCTCCTTTCGTCTCAGAGCATCCAGCATGCAACACTACATCCTCCTACCCAGAAGATGGCTGCTGGTTTATTTATTACGGCAGAAATAAAACCGCTAATGGAACAGTTTTGGAAAGGAGTGGTTTGGGCTGGACACTCTAGGGGAGAGGTGCTGCTGTCTGCTGCGAAACTCTGAAAGATATGACTGGTCACTTGGTTAACACACACTGCAGAACGGAACTCGAAGGACTCTGTTTGTTCACTGTGTGCAGTGGGATTGTCTGAATGTTTTTGCAAATTCACGAAGGTGCCATTGTCTTTGAAATGGCCACCGAAATCATGTGGACAGACTAACCAAATTGAAATTAGAATTGCATTTGCAGCAGGATTCGGCCTTTAACTGCTGTGTGCACAGCCACACAACCCCCTATATCATGGACAACAGGTTTGTTGCAATCAAATGTCCTGTTGCAATATTTTTGTGTTGAGTATTTGATGATAACATTACACATTATTTATGGATGCATTCCAGATGCATGTGGAGGTGATCAGCTCCTTACAGTATCTGGAGAAGTGCCAGGGCAATATACTGTAATCGGTGCAGGATTGGGCAGAATGCAACCCAAATCTGACTGAATCTTTGGTTAAAACGTCGCAAAGGGCGATGTTTTGCACTAAATTGCCAAATAGTTGTTGTTTGAGAGGCAAGCCTAGTATTGCCGTAGTGATGCTAGTTTAGTTTCAAATTAAACCTGCCATACCTCCCGCTTAATGTATTTTCATTTTATGGATTTGTTTTGTGTCGATAATGTTGTTGGATGAAATGCACTTCAGAAAACCACATCTTTCAAACCAAGGTGCTAGCTATAATGTGAGTGTACAGTATGATTTGAGTGTTCTTGGTCTGAGTACATGTCCACATGCCTTAGACTGCACTGCACTTCAGTGAGTGTTTTGAGGTACCTTTTTAATTGGGAATGTGTAAGAAATGGTTTGACGGTCTCTGGGCTCGTTTCAAACCGTAGCACTGAAGGTCGGTGGTATAGCGCGATTTCAATTTGAGCCGACATATGCAGCGTTGAACGCAATCTCTGCGAACGTGGAAGCATTGCCTTTAAATTTCAATCGCACTATTACACTGCCTTTAAATTGTGTCAAAACCACTAAAGTTGCATTGCTTCAGCGAGTGTTTTAGTTGTGTATGTGGGAATACCGGATGAAACAAAGCCATACAAGTCGCCTTCAATAAACTGCTTTTTAAGAGACTAACTTTATTTATTGGAAAGGGACAAGGTTTCATGTTTGCTATTTGTTATAAAGCAGCTCACTAGTGGTATATCGATTGTTGGGATGCTTGGCTTTAACCTGTCACTGTCAACTGGTTTTCTATTTTGTCAAAAACCTAAACACCATGAATCACTGGCTTTCTTTCTGTATAATTACACTGATATCCTGAGTTTGTAGATGGTGAGAGATGGGGGGGGAAAACATGGATTCAAAGCACACACAACTGGAGAAAATTGTATTTTATTTTTCTAAACAGGGCTAAAGTGCCACGTTTTCACAGTACGGTTTTTAAATCAATCCCAAAAGCTTTCGCGTGCAATTTTTATTTACACGATTTCCCCTAAATTACATTACATTCAGTACAACAATTCATAGGAGAGAGAACTTATTGGGGCAGTTTCCCAGACCCACATTGTGCCTATTCCAGGACTAAAATGGATGTAGAACATGCCTTTTTAGTCCAGAAGTGGGCTCAATTGGAGTCTGGGAAACCAGACTTTGAAATGTCTTTCCAACCAGGTTTTTCCTTCACACATAAATGGTGCTATCAATGTAGATATAAATTATTGGATGACTTTACAAAGGTAAAATCAGTTGGGGAATTAAAGCCAGGATATAGTTCACATCATCCTCTAAGGACATTTTTCGTGAAAATAATTTATTGCTGATTGCAATATCACAATGTTTTAATTAAATGGGGTATGACATGAATTAGACATCGTATTAACCCCCAAACCCCTTAATTTCATATAAATAGGTATCTGAAATGAAAAGACTATGGTTTTCACTTTGTGGACACAGTCATTGTTTTTCTAAAGTACCCAGCAGGAGTCTGCTGTAAAACGTAGGAACTGTCTAAATACCTTGAAAGGGCCTCCTTCTTTCTCTATAAGTAATGACTGACCAAACATCAGCCTAATTGGATAAGTGAAAGTCAAGTTTCAGGTTTCCATTCAGTCATATCAGGGTTGATTACTTCAATGAAGGGAGAAGAGAAAGGAGGATAATCAGTTATTGGAACTAGGCCACTTCATATGGCTGTACTGTCTATCAGCTCCCTCTGACCTACCCCATCCCAAAACGTACCTTGTTATCTCCCCCAGTCTAAGGCATATGAAGTCAATTCAGTCACAAAAGCATCTGCATTTTGTTTTACAGACGGTTCTGAAGCAGAAATGGTTGCTGACATATTATATACAGTTATAATCAAGATATCTAAAATCCCAACTCTAAATTGTGCTGCTACAGCATGTCATCACTAACCACGTTTCCATCCAGTTTTTATGCGACTAAAGTCATAGTATTTTTTAAAAAAAGCATGACAGCTGTGATAGAAACTGGAAGTTTCGGTCAATTGTATTAAATGCCGACAGATAATTTGTTCGTTCGACATGTTCGGATCTTTTTGTGTCAAATTAATTATTCGTCAAATGGTGGTGGAAATTCCTTTATGCACAAATATTTATATAATAACCATAATATCGCGAGTCACACACTGATATGGTGTGTGGTCCTCCCACTACGACTTGGGAAACCATGCAGTTTATTAGGCTACAGATGAAATAGGCTAAATTATGATTAACTTTACAGGGTAGTGAAAGTGCATGGTGATGAACTTGATGCTCCTTTCCAATAAATAGAGGGCCTTTCCAATAAATAGAGGGTCTTATTCCGGTGACATGATGATCGATGCTTGACTGCCGTTTGACAAATAAAATATTATTGCTCTTACCCATAATAATCTCATGTATATTAGCCTACCAGCACTGTATCTGCGAGCTGTTGGCTAGAGCGCACGTGCCAAAACCAGAGTAGGCACATTTGCTATTTAACGCAACAGTTTGTGACAAAACTATCCGTATAGTTCAAAATGCGATGGAAGGACATTAAACGAAAAATTACATTTTGTGTGCACTACGTCATCACGCACTGATTTTTATCCACAACAAGTCAGTTTGGTGGAAACACCATTGGTGGAAAAATCCTCATATATTCTTTATGTAGATTTCTGAATATTTGCATGAAAATCTGTCGCCAATTGGATGGAAACCTAGCTATTGACTCAAGTACAACCCCCAAAATAAAGAACCAAAGATTTTTTAAATACATTTAAAAATTTGAAGAAAAAAAACAAAATTACTTTTAATCTTGTCCCTCCATCAGCACCAGCAAAGTGGTGTTTTCACCAGAGAGACAAACACCAAAAGGTTAAGTCTTATGTCATAGGGGTCATAGTTCCATGACAGCCCTCTACACTTTTGTTTTTTGTTTCTTACAAACAAGACGTTCATTCTGGAAAGAAGGCGGCCAAATTGTTTTGTCGTACTAGAAAGATTAGCAGCATGAGTAAGCTGTGACACCACTGATTATTATAAAAAGCAAAATCAACACAAAATAGGAACAATTTCTTAAAAAAGGACAACTACAAAAAGCAGAACTAAAATAGAGCCATGTTTTTACTTTGTCTTAAATTGCTTTCTTATAAATTTCTCATAACACATACATACATTTATATCAATATATCTCTGCCAGAAAAGGGATAAAAAAACAAACATTTTGGCTATTCTCATAGGTCTTTCTGCATTAGCATGCTAGCTAATGCGGGAGCTAGCATAGGAAGCTAGCATAAGAACTAGCAAGAGAGCTAGCATAGGAAACTAGCATGCAAGCTAGCATAGGAAACTAGCATGAGCGCTAGCATGAAACTAGCATAAAGGCTAGCATGAGGAGCGAGCTAGTATTAAGAACTAGCATGAGGTGTAGAATGGGAAACTAGCATTGAAGCTAGCATGAGGGCTTACATTGAAGCTAGCTGGAGACCGATCTGGAGACCTAGCATGAGAGCTAGCATGAGAGCTAGTCTGGAAAAGGGCTAGCTAGTGTACACCCGCACTTAGCATGGTTTGGGTATCCATGGTATGCTATGTTCGGAACAGTCTTGTGTGGACAGGGTTTTAGTGAGTCATGTGCGCCTCAGAAGAGAATAGGTTTCCCGGATGTTTTCTCCTGGACGTAGCCAGTGAAACGTTTGAGGAACTTGGGGTACTCCCTCTTGGCCACGGCCCTCAGGACTGAGGCAGGAGCCCAGCCTCCCGGGTTCACTTAGATGAAAAGGAAATACACGTTACACAGGATATCACAGAGAACAGGTTCATTCACAACACCTGTAGATTCATATACAATATATAGTTAACTGAAGAATACATAGTTATTGGTAATGTACTACATGGCTATTGTAACACTGCTTATTTTGTCCGTTCTAGCATGGTCATCTTTAGTGGCGATCAGTGTTTTAAGAGGTGAGCTCACCGTTGGCGACGTAGGTGATTTTACAGGTGATGTTGTCTCTGCTGATCTCTCTGTCGCCCTCTGGTGGGCTTACCAGGGTCTGGCAGATCATGGCGATGTTGATTTTGGCACGGACACACCTGTTGGTGGGCTGAGGGGGGACAACGACATGAAAGATCATCAATTCACAAGCATTGACCAAAGAAAATATAAGACAAATATTTGTATGACGAACCAGGTTGTTATTGTAACAGCTTTTTTTCCCCTCACACCAATAGATTGTCAGTCTGGGGAATCAGGAATTCCTGGAAAAGCCCATCTCCAGGAAGACTGAGACTGAGAATGACCATGGCGTTGTTGTGGTCCACAGAGAAGCTGCAGACCTGCCAGGTGTCTGGGTCGCCAGGGGTAGGGTTAGGGGGGTTATACTGACCATGGCGTTGTCGTGGTCCACAGAGAAATTGCACACCAGCCAGGTGTCTGGGTCATTCTCATTGTTAGCCAGGATCTTCCTCATGGCAGACAGGTAGAGCACATCTCTCTGGGAGGCAGGCCACACCCTCTGCAACACACACGTAGGTTTTACTTTCAGTCATTTAGTAGACACACTTAAAAGTGTGACCGAAAAACTAAGAGTACCAAGGCACTCTTTATGCATTAAAATGCCTTTATTGTGGTGTGATATTCAGTGGAACAAATCTTAACTCAGAAGGCGACTGGGTTTGAAACCTGTGATTTACTCATTCTCTCTTACCTTGTGTGTCTGATACACGATAACAGCATTTTCCGATAACGTCTCCACAACGTTGAAGTTCTCAATAGTAGCTGAATTAAAGGAAAGAGAGACCAGAATAAGAACATATCAAATAAATCACTCAATTATTTAAAATGTAGAGACCTTACTACAGAGATTGGAAACATTGCAGAAAATGACAGTATTGAAAACTTGAAGTGCCAGATGCAATTCAGTGTTTTAAAAACATTTATCAAGATCCCATGGCTAGAATTAAAGTGAACTGCCATCTGACAAATCAAATTACTTTACAATGCAGTCCAGGGCAGGGATGGTGCACCTCCCCAGCTTTGTTTGCCTTACATATTGAGCACCTAGCCCAAACGTTAAGGTAACATTAGGAACTACTAGGATTACCATCAGAGGAAAACAGCATAAAATCGCCTTGTATGCCAAGGATGTGCTAGTTTGTAACACTTGCCTCCCAAAACTAACGAATATGTTGGAAGGATGGTTATTATTCAGGATACAAACTAAATCTACACAAAACACAGAATATACTCCAACTACACCCTATCACAGGAAATAAAACATACATATGGTTTTAGCTGGAACTGCTAAACTAAAGTTATACTTTTGAATCATCTGTCCATAGAACATTCTTCCAAGAGTCTTGGTGATCACCCAGGTGCTTCCAGGTGCTTTTTGGCAAACTTGAGTCAACTTTTTGGATGACATGGGTCCCATTATGCTTGGCGAAAACCAAACACTGCATTACATAGCAAGGACCTCATAGCAACGGTATAGCATGGTGGTGGGAGTGTGATGGTTGGGATGCTTTGATGCTTCAGGACCTGGACGACTTGCCTTAATAGAAGGAACCATGAATTCTGCTCTGTATCAGATACTTCTACAGGAGAATGTCAGGCCATCAGTCTGTGAGCTGAAGCTGAAGCGCAGCTAGGTCATGCAGCAAGACAATGATCCAAAACACACAATCAAGTATACATGAAAATGGCTAAAAAGCAACACATTTGAAGCTTTGGAATGGCCTAGTCAAAGTCCAGACCTAATCCCAATTGAAATGTTGTGGCAGTTCATGCTTGATTCCACAAATGTCGCTGAGTTAAAGCAGTTCTGCATGCAAGAGTTGGCCAAAATTCCTCCACAGTGATGTGAGAGACTGATCAACAACTACAGTACGCATTTGGTTACAGTCATTGCAGCAATTACTTTTTCACACAGGGGAATTGGGTGTTGCATAACTTTGTTAATTAAATAAATAAAGTAAGTAAACTCAGGTTCCCTTGATCTAATATTAGGTTTTGATTGAAGATCTGATAACATTCAGTATCAAACATATGCAAAAAAAGAGAACTTGAAAGGGGGCAAATACTTGTTCACGGCACTGTATAGGAGTAAACCTAACAAAATATATTACAAAGCTATAACAAATAAGCCAACTATCCTAAATATTCATAAAGATATAGAGAGACGGTCACTTCTTCCTTTAGATTTCAGCTCTAGAATAAAGACAGTGAAAATGAATAGTCCCTAGACTGCTGTATTTATTCCCATCTCTACCAGTAGAGGTCCCCCAAAACAGTTCAACCTCTGGGACAAGTTACTATCAAGGATCATTACACAGGTGCACCTTGTGTTGGGGACAATAAAAGGCCAAATGTGCAGTTTTGTCACAAAACACAATGCCACAGATGTCTCAAGTTTTGAGGCAGCGTGCGATTGACATGACTGCAAGAATGTCCACAAGAGCTGTTGCCAGAGAATATAATCTTCATTTCTCTACCATAAGCTGCCTCCAACGTCGTTTTAGAGAATTTGGTAGTACGTCCAACCGGCCTCACAACTGCAGACCAACGTGTAACCATGCCTGCCCAGGACCTCCACATCTTGCTTCTTCACCTGCAGGAAGTCTGAGACCAGACACCCGGACAACTGATTAAATTGTGGGTTTGCACAACCGAATCATTTTTGCACAACTGTCACAAACCGTCTCAGGGAAGTTCATCTGCGTGCTCGTCGTCCTCACCAGGGTCTTGACCTGACTGCAGTTCGGCGTCTTAACCGACTTCAGTGGGCAAATGTTCACCTTCGATGGTCACTGGCACGCTGGAGAAGTGTTCTCTTAATGGATGAATACCGGTTTCAACTGTACTGGGCAGATGGCAGACAGTGTGTATGGCGTCGTGTTGGTGAGCGGTTTGCTGATGTCAATGTTGTGAACAGAGTGCACCATGGTGGCGGTGGGGTTATGGTATGGGCAGGCATAAGCGACGGACAACGAACACAATTGTATTTTATTGATGGCAATTTGAATGCACAGAGATAACGTGACGAGATCCTGAGGCCCATTGTCGTGCCATTCATCCGCCGCCATCATCTCATGTTTCAGCATGTTGTGGGACAACATTCCACAGGCCACAATCAACAGCCTGATCAACTCTATGCGAAGGAGATGTTTCGTGCTGCATGAGGCAAATGGTGGTCACACCAAATATTGACTGGTTTCTGATCCACGACCCTACCTTTTTTTAAGGTATCTGTGACCAACACATGCATATCGGTATTCCCAGTTATATGAAATCCGTAGATTAGGGCCTAATTAATTTATTTCAATTGACTGACTTCCTTATATGAACTGTAACTCATTCAAATCTTTGAAATTGTTGCATGTTGCATTTATATTTTTGTTAAGTGTACAATTTAGGCCTCTAGTGTGTCGGTGGGACCCACAATACAGCGCTATATGAAAAGATATTGAGGCTGCCGTTCAAGGTTGCCCAATCCAATCTATAGCCGGGGATAAAGACATTTGTGAATTTAACAGGAATACTTAACCCAATATCATCATTCACACTAGACCTTTGGTTTAGGATGGTGAAACAACACAAGCTGGAAAAGGAAGTCAGAATTTTGAAATGGTTTGCTTTTGACCCAAAATCTAAAGCAGGCATTTATGATAAAACATTTAAGGAATGGGCTGAGAGGCATGACAGCATTTTGTGCCATTGTAGAGGATAGAGAGCTCTTAAGTTTTCAGAATTTAAAAGGTGAAGTATGGTATGGAAAATCAAGGTTTTTTCAGATACTTACAGTTAAGGGATTATTTTGAAAAACAGATCAAATGAAAGAGCCTTCTACAATACCAAATGTGACTATCATGTCATTCGATATGTAATATGAACAAGGAACATCCAAGACAAATTCTTCACTCTGTCATGGCCTGATTGATTCTAGAAAAGATTCAACCTTTTATATTAAAGCAAAATGGGAGAAGGAATTAAAGACTGATATTTCTGAGGAAGATTGGGACAATATATGCAAAACACAACATACTCCTACAAGCATAAGAACATGGCAGGAGTTGTTGGAAAAACATGACTCGGTTTTTCATCACATCTAGAAACAAAAACCAACAGCTAGGTACACAACAACCATGCTGTTGACTGTGTGGCCATGTCGATGCCAACCACATGTCTTTTGGGAATGTAAGAAATTAACACTGTTCTGGGAGAATGTATGTTCTGTAATAAAATATGTTCTGGGATATGAAGTCCCTAGAACATCCCCTATAATGTACCTTGGTAATGTTCTAGAAGTTGTAATTAACAGTGATAGATACTTGATTTAAGTTTGACTTGCTCCTAGTACAAAAGCCATTACCAGGAGTTGGTATAAAGTGGAAGACCCAAAGTCTGAAGAATTGCAAAGTATAAGTCAAGAAATCTTTGTTATGGAAAGCTTTACATATGCCTTAAGACTTCAAAAACCTGTTTTTGAAAGAAACTGGTAGAAATGGATAGCTTTCACAAACCAGGCCGACCTGATTCATTAAGTATAGTGCCTTCGGAAAGTATTCAGACCCCTTGACTTTTTCCACATTTTGTTACGTTACAGCCTTATTCTAAAACAGATTAAGTTGTTTCCCCCCCCCCCCTCATCAATCTACACACAATACCCCATAATGACAAAGCAAAAACAGTTTTAGACATTTTTGCAAATGTATAAATAAATACAAATACTGAAATATCTTATTTAAGTAAGTATTCAGACCCTTTGCTATGAGACTCGCAATTGAGCTCAGGTGCATTCTGTTTCCATTGATCATCCTTGATTTACCTGTGGTAAATTCAATTGATTGGACATGATTTGGAAAGGCACACACCCGTCTATATAAGGTCCCACAGTTGGGGAAGGGGAAGGGTACCAAAACATTTCTGCAGCATTGAAGGTCCCCAAGAACAAAGTGGCCTCCATCATTCTTAAATGGAAGAAGTTTGGAACCACCAAGACTCTTCCTAGAGCTGGCCGCCTGGCCAAACTGAGCAATCGGGGGAGAAGGGCCATGGTCAGGGAGGTGACCAAGAACCCGATGATCACTCTGACAGAGCTCCAGAGTCCCTTTGTGGAGATGGGAGAACCTTCCAGAAGGACAACCATCTCCACAGCACTCCACCAATCGGGCCTTTATGGTAGAGTGGCCAGACGGAAGCCATTCCTCAGTAAAAGGCACATGACAGCCTGCTTGGAGTTTGCCAAAAGGCACCTAAAGACTCTCAGACCATGAGAAACAAGATTCTCTAGTCTGATGAAACCAAGATTGAACTCTTTGGCCTGAATGCCAAGCGCCAGGTCTGGAGGAAACCTGTCACCATCCCTACAGTGAAGCATGGTGGTGGCCGCATCATGCTGTGGGGATGTTTTTCAGCGGCAGGGACTGGGAGACTAGTCAGGATCGAGGGAAAGATGAACGGAGCAAAGTACAGAGAGATCCTTGATGAAAACCTGCTCCAGAGGTCTCAGGACCTCAGACTGGGGCGAAGGTTCACCTTCCAACAGGACAACGATCCTAAGCACACAGCCAAGACAACGCAGGAGTGGCTTCGGGACAAGTCTGTGAATGTCCTTGAGTGGCCCAACCAGAGCCCAGACTTGAACCCAATCGAACATCTCTGGAAATAGCTTTGCAGCAACGCTCCCCATCCAACCTGACAGAGCTTGAGAGGATCTGCAGAGAAGAATGGGAGAAACTCCCCAAATACAGGTGTGCCAAAATTGTAGTGTCATACCCAAGAAGACTCAAGGCTGTAATTGCTGCCAAAGGTGCTTCAACAAAGTACTGAGTAAAGGGTCTGAATTACTTATGTAAATGTGATATTTCATAATTTTTTAATTAATAAATTAGCAAACATTTCTAAAAACCTGTTTTTGCTTTTCTCATTATTGGGTATTGTGTGCAGATTGATGAGGAAAAAAACATTTAAATCAATTTTAGAATAAGGCTGTAACTTAACAAAATGTGGAAAAAGTCAAGGGGTCTGAATACTTTCCGAAGGCACTGTATATGCATTCTATTGTTCAGATGAGACTTACTCTCCCAGTCGTTGCGTACATCTGTGTCCCAGAAATAGTGGCACACCTCGTGTCCTGTCACTCCCTTTACAGAGTGAGTGGCCTTCAGGGGGTCCAGGACGATACCGTTCTCCTCTACCTCTCTCCTGTACACCTACACAACACACATACAGAGGGAAGATGTATAAACAGGTGTGCAGGTATGTGTGTGTGAGGCTCAAACTGCTCCAGCTGGTTTAGATATGTATTATTCATGTACATTTGTATTAATTTGTATAAAAAGACTGACAGTGGCAGCATAATCATCACCTCTCTCCCTCTCGCTCTCCACCTCTCTCCTACCTTCATCTCTCCTTCCTCCACCACCAGTTGCCAGTTGGCGTCTCCGCCCATATCCTGCAGCGAGTAGGTCATGTGATTCTGCACCATCTCCTCCACCTATCACAGTCAACCAGGAAGAGGAAGGGACAGACAGGGCTAAAGGTCAGACAGACATAAATGCTCACTGATAAACACATAAGTGTTACAGGAAAGACAAGCCAACACTTGTATTGTGAGGAAGCAGTTATGACATGCAGAGGCCAGTAAATATGTGTGCTAACAGACAATATAGTATTATCTCAACAGCAATTTAGCATCGTCAGACGGGCAGCCAACTTCATGCTTGCAGCTAGCATCATGCTGAAAGAGACAGATGCCTGTGGGATGAAAGTGTAGAAATTCAGCCAGTCCTGGGGGGGGGGGCTACACTCAGCCACGGAGCAGTTACCTCAGAGCTGAATCTGTGGACCTTGTGAGGGGCAGTGACTATCAGAGGAGAGTGACTATGGGGCTACAGGAAGGACATGAACAGACAGACAGACAACAGACAGACGTGGGGGGAGAGTGAAAAAAAGAAAATGGGGGGAGAGGATGAATGAAAGAGAGAGAATGATGGTGATAGTTAAATTATGGTGCTCAGGACTAAAAGAGGTGAATAACCTTGTCAGTGAATCTGTGTGATCCCATGGTGGAGTAGACATCTCCTGGGGGAACTGGACTGGATGCCTGTATCCTCGACTTCTCAGTGTGAGACTAGACACACACACACAGGGCCATGATTAAACATATGTACTCAATGTAATACGAAGATTTATCATTATTATTATAGAATTAGATTAATTCTATACCAATTGAGGCCGAGGGGTTTTGCCCTTGTTCTGGTACCTGTTCCTCTATCTTGTCTTGTCTGTCGAGAGCTGCTTCAACGGCATCGAAAAACTCATCGTCATTGATCAGGCTGTTAGGCCCCTCCTGGAAAGAGAAGAGAGGGAGGTGGAAAAGAATGATGAAGGGAAGAGTGTAACATGGCATTGATTACCTGAGGATGAGACTGACAGTTGTATTTTCACCTGCCTCAAAACAATCATAGAACTGACAAACCATACAACTGAACAGAAGAAAAGCTGAGAAAGATATAAAGACTGCAAGACAGAGCAACTGAGTCAATCTTCTCACCTCGTAATCAGGGCCTCCAAAGTGAGACTTCTTCTTGAGCTCAGAGAGAGCAGACTTGTAGCCCTCCTCTATCCTCCTCCTCTTCTCCGTCTCCTTGTCCAGTCTCTTCTGCCAGCTGTCCTCTCTCTTCACCATGAGGTCGATGCAGTGGGACAGGGTGGCCAGGATCCCAGCTGTAGTGGCCTTGAAGGTGATGGCTTCGCCCTTAAAATCTATTCCATTGATGCCCTTAGGGCTCAGAGACTGGAATACTGCAGAGCAGGAGAGGAATATTTGTTAAAATAGGTGTTTAAAACATTGATTTAAGACACAATGAGCCTGTTTAAAATTTTCTCCAGTCCCAAAGCCTTCTCTTTCCATTACATAAGAACACAATAACTACACTTGTTTTTTCAGACAGAATGCTAAAATGTTGATTTCCCCCAAAAAATTATCAAAGTGTAAACATTCTAACTTTTCTTTAGAGGGGATTCTGCTTTACTTACGCTTCTCCTTGCTGCCGTTGTTGTTGTGGATGAACTCTCCATCTGACCGAGTGTTGGGGAAATCATCCTCATCATCTTCCACAACTTGAGAGAGAAGAAGCGAGAGCGAAAGAGAGTGAGAAGTCAGCAATGGTCATACAGTACACTAGTTCCTACAAAGTCCCTGCAGAGTCACCAATAGAGCCAGAGTAGGGTAGTGCCAAGAGTTGCCTATGCATGCACCCAGCCACAGAGCATGGCAGGCTAACAGACTGACAGAACTCTACTGTACTGTCCTCAATGCCACAACAATGCCCTGGCCTCTTCTGCAGGAGCAAAGGATGGACGGAGGAAGCAAGAGAGATGAGAGGGGGATAGAGGGAGGGATCTGATGGGTAACAAAGGAACTGTTTGATTGTCTGTGGTCATTGACAGCTGTCGTTTGGCACGGTGACAAAGCACAAACTCTACCATGAGCAAATGTTCTGGCAGCCCAAAGAAAGAGGGATGGGTGGAAAGAGGGAGAGGGAGAGAGAGAAAGAGAGGGGGGAGAGAGAGGGGGTTTAGAGGAAGGCAGAGAAAGTGGGAGGGAGAGGAGGGGGAGCGAGAGAGGGGGAGCGAGAGAAGGAGAGAGGGAGGGAGAGAGAGAGAGCAGAGAGTGAGAGAAAAAGAGGGAAAGAGAGACTGGAAAACCTGCATCTCAATAAGGTGGCTGACGGAACGCATTCCTCTAAAACATTCTGCAAATATTTCCCCAAAGTTACATATTTTCTTGATCCACACATTTGGCATTTCTTCTGGGAACACCAAATATTGTTTTGAGTCTTTTTGTGGTATTTCTCCATTGTTCTTTGTGGTAGTGTGATATTTTTGTTCAACAGTTTGCAGCAATAAGTAGGAACCCATAGGTTTGGTCTCACAGATCAACTGCATGTGATTTTTCTTCCCACTAGACCTCATAATACTAGGCCTGGGTGGCTGTCTAGCTAGCACTGAAGACTTGATCAACAGACATTGATGGTCTTACTTTTGTCTCTCTGCAGCTCGTCCTTGGAGACGGCATCGGCGCAGCCGTCAAAGTATTTCTGCAACGTGTCCACCTGTCTGCACAGGATGTCTCTGAACGTCTCCATCTCTGCCAGCTTCTCCCTCAGGCTGTGGCCCTTCAGACCCAAACAGGGGAACGCACGGTCAGCAAACACTCTGGGCTCTATTTTAACAAACTTAATGCAATGGTAAATCTTAGCGCTGGCGGTAGGGCTATAGGTCCGGGGGTTTGTCAGAAATATTTTTGCTATTTTTTACTGTGGGAATTATGAGTGCAATAGCTGGCGGTGGCGTGAAAGGGCCAGGTTTTGATGAATAGTTGTAACAAGGGCTTGGCCACTCACTGGTCAATCGACTCGTTTCATGGCTTAATACTGCATACCGTCGGCTTAAATTCTGTAGGTTGTCATCAACTCCAATTCGGCTGGGGGACAAAAAGCACATCTCTCTTTTTCCATGTGCATATGGGCACTGTGTGTCACGGCTGGACAGGCTGCACTTCCGCTGTCAAAATCCATGCCATAACCAACCTCGTTACCGCAAAGACCAGCTTTTGGTTGGTCTTAAATATCCCCACCAGCGCTGCCTGAAATTGGCACTTTGGCACACGTTTCTAAGGACACACCTCAGATATTGCCACCCCTCCCACCTAAGTACAAGCGAGCTCATATAAGACAGGCAAATATCCAATCCTGGCACTAGGGTTTGAAAACAGAAAAGCGCCAGCTTTAACAGGTCAAAATTGCAAACGAGCGGGCGTTTGACAATTGAGCTGGCTTAATGTCAGCTGAAAGTAGAGCCTTGTGTGTGTGTGTTAAGTCAAAACTCACCTTGAAGGAGGAGGTGGATGTGGTGGAGTAGCTGCTGGTAGCAGACGTGAGAGACAGCATTGAACCATGTCTTCTCAGGCTGGACTCTGAACCATACCCAGACTCAGCCTAGACACATTGCGGGAGAGAAAGACATGAACAGACACGAAAGTATATATCGAAAACAGATAACATCATTCACTTTACACAACATCAACACATCAGAAAAGTGTCTTAAAGGGGGGAAACATACAATCACCACATCACGTCAACATATCTACCACCAAATGTACCAGATCTCAACTCACTATCACACAGTCAGTATATTCAGTTCTAACACTCAACTAGTAAACCTACTGATCAACAAGCACCTTCACCTCTACTAGTCACACTAGGACAGAGTATGAGGTTAATGCAAATACTCTCCATCCCTACTTATTTTCTCTCTGTCACAGAGAGAGTTACTTCTAGGACCCTGACAGTGCAGCAACCATAGAAATAGAATGAATAGAAAGAGCATCTCCATTCAAGTCAATTATGGTATAATGGGTGGACTTGCAGCCATTTTAAAGGTACCCATGCCAGGAAGTAAAAGCATGAAGTGTACCCTTCAACCTGTGCTCTGATTTGTTGAATCAACTCAACTGACATTACACAAATACATTGCATTGGCCTTTATCATGTCTCTGGCAAGACATTTAACTTGTTTAGTACAGTCCGTTTGTAACTCCACTCACTACTTGTAGCTGTACAGTTTGTTTGTTTGTGTTGCTGGTCTTGGCTAGCTTAATGTTCCGGTTGGTAGCTAGCTAGCACTCACTCACATGGCTGCTAGCACAGTCATGAAAAGGGGCATGAGGGAAGCCCTACAATATTATGTTTTTCTAAGTAGTGAGAACGCTTGGGAGCAGGCAATGTTGAAAAGTAATCTTTAGACATGTTGTACATTTCTTAAATGTAGCTTTGTAATTGACTAAAACAAGCAGACAAGAAAATTGTGTTTGAAAAGGGTCACGTTTTTGCTGTGAGCCAAATGGAGAAACCTAGGTAACCACAGGTTAATTCACTTGAACTCAACTAGTGAACACACAATCTCAGGCTGCGATCTAGGTGCCGTGGTCCCCCTCTCTGATCACAACTGAGCAAATTTTCCATCATGGTTCCTAATCTTGGGAGCTATGCAGCCCAACCTCAGCAACTCTGGGTCAGGCTGCGCTTTGTTGGGGAAGGAGAGGTGCCTAGTAGAGTATGTGGCTGAAAACCTACTGCTCGAATCCCATTGGATCACTGCTGCAGACGTCTATTCCTACAAAGCCCTCCCAAATTAGCGAGAATATGAAATATGCTTTTTCTCAGCCAACCCCCTACGCCAGTTTCTGCCGCAACGCAAATGCACATGAGCAAATATGGAGTGACTGGGAAGTGGAGTCCCCATTCAACGTGGATGAGAAGACTATAACGGTCAAGTTCTGGACAGGAAGAGTTTCTGACCATGACATAGAGCTGTATCTGTAATGCTACCACACTCTCCTTCAGCCTGCCATGAAACTAAAACAAACAACAAAAAAGCAATAAGATATGATGCAAAACAACTTGTCTGTATCTCATAAACAGAAAGTACTTTATTTTAAGCCAATCTAAAAAAAAGTAACCACAGGTTGTTTCCCCACAGGCGGGCGGGGCCACAACGTTCTATCTAATACCGACTGGGACTATACCAGGCAGCTATTGCGAGTATACCCATGAGTTTACCAGTCAAATTGCCAGGGTTAGAGCTTCCAAGCCTCTTCTATTCATTCCATTTCTATGGCAGCAACACAGGGTGACCATGGAAACAGGGACCATGACAACCACAGAACGCAGTCACAGGATGACCCATAAAAACTTAAAATAGAGAGGAGGGAGGAAGGGAGAGAAAAGGAGGGAGGAAAAGGGAGAGCGAGAGGGAGGGAGAGAGACTGGTGGGAAAAGAGGGAAGCTCTGTCTGGAGATTACATGGTTTGACATGGTGATTCACCCTGTGTGAAATAGCACTCAGAAAATATGAGATACTGTGTGGGGCCTAGTATTAAGTGGAAGAGAGCATGTAACGTGTAGCCTAGTTAGGTATTTTCAACTAAGATGAAAACATGTGCTTCCATTCCTCACAACAAGAGGGCAGCCTATTCACATGGCTGCTGCCTGGCCATGCATCCTCCACCCAGAGGTTACTATCTTTCAACGGCCAGGAGTAACCCTTTCCCTGCCTCCACCAGGGCTTTCATCGCTACTGTCGCCCTCAGCCAATCAGCAGCTCTCATTCTGACAATGATCGTTCAATACAGCCACTATCCACCAATCACAGAGCTGCTATTGAATATAAAGCAGTTAATATTTGGTTGGTTGATAAAAGACAAATCAACCCACAGGATCAAAGCACCGGTGTGTTTGATATCAATATTCCAAGATGGCATAGCAGTGCGGTCGTGTTCTCTGTAGAGTCCTCATGTAAATAGCATTTTTTTTTTTTCGTATACATTTCTCAATCTCACTTTACATCCTTTATGTAAATATACTTTCCTGCAACCCACCTCACCCAATGAGGAACGGATTCTGTTGTTTTTTCATACATTTTTATCCAAAACCTCTGGCTGAAACTAGCCAGCTAGCCAGCTAACTAGCTACTTGCTATTAGCCACCGTTAGCGGTCTTCACCATTGTCCGTGGCTGTGGCCTGCACTACCTACCAGCCAGCTCTAGCCTGGACAATTGTCGGCCAGTCTGCAGTCGGCACATCGCGCTATCGAGCCAGAGCATATTGGATTTTCTGCCGGAATCACTGAATCACTGGACCTTGACACCAGATCATCGCAACTAGCTAGCTGCAACAGAATGGCTGTTTGGCTAATCACCACTGTCCTGAAGCTAACCCCAGTTAGCCTTGAGCTAGCCTCGAGCCAGGCCCATCTCCCGGCTATCTACCTCTCTGTCAACCAGACAGGACCTCCTGGTGTTGACACGGAGCCCCGCCGATCCATCACGACTGGTCTGCCGGCGTAATCGTCTGATGTGGTTTCAACAGGCTTCCCGTTGCGACGACCACGAAGATCCATCTGCCAGTGATGCCATCTCTTTCATCTTTACCCAACACTTAGGTTTACCTCCACTGTACTCAATGCCCTGAATCTATTCTACAACGCCCGGAAATCTGCCCCTTTTTTTCTCTGTACCCAACGCACTAGAAGACCAGTTCTTAAAGCCTTTAACCGTATCCTTATTCTACTCCTCCTCTGTTCCTCTGGTGATGTAGAGGTTAACCCAGGCCCTGTAGCCCCCAGTATCACTCCTGCTCCCCAGGCGCTATCATTTGTTGACTTCTGTAACCGCAAAAGCCTTGGTTTCTTGAATGTTAACATCAGAAGCCTCCTCCCTAAGCTTGAGTTATTCACTGCGTTACCACACTCCGCCAACCCTGATGTTCTAGCAGTGTCTGAATCCTGGCTTAGGAAGGCCACCAAAGATTCTGAAATGTCCATTCCCAACGACAACATTTTCCGTCTAGATAGAACTGCCAAAGGGGGCGGAGTTGCAATCTACTATCTATCATACTATCCAGGTCTGTGCCCAAACAGTTTGAGCTTCTACTTCTAAAAATCCACCTTTCCAGAAATAAGTCTCTCACTATTGCCACTTGCTACAGACCCCCCTCAGCCACCAGCTGTGCCCTGAACACCATATGTAAATTGATTGCCCCCCATCTATCCTCAGAGTTCGTATTGCTTGGTGACCTAAACTGGGATATACTTAACACCCCGGCCGTCCTACAATCTAAACTAGATGCCCTCAATCTCACACAAATTATCAAGGAACCTACCAGGTACAACCCTAAATCCGTTAACATGGGCACCCTCATAGATATCATCCTGACTAATTTACCCTCTAAATACACCTCCGCTGTCTTCAACCAGGATCTCAGCGATCGCTGCCTCATTGCCTGCGTCCGTAATGGGTCCGCGGTCAAACGACCACCCCTCATCACTGTTAAACGCTCCCTAAAACACTTCAGCGAGCAGACCTTTCTAATTGACCTGGCCCGGGTATCCTGGATGGATACTGACCTCATTCCGTCAGTAGAGGATGCCTGGTTGTTCTTTAAAATTGCTTTCCTCTCCATCTTAAATAAGCATGCCCCATTCAAAAAATTCAGAACTAAGAACAGATATAGCCCTTGGTTCACCCCAGACTTGACTGCCCTTGACCAGCACAAAAACATCCTGTGGCGTACTGCATTAGCATCG